GTGTGTGTGTGTGTGTGTGTGTGTGTGTGTGTGTGTGTGTGTGTGTGTGTGTGTGTGTGTGGAGGTCTACAGCTGGTGAAACAAGCATACCCAGCAGACAAGTAGCAACTCACTGCAGGTGTCACAGCACAGAGGGCTGACTGTCAAAATGCTTGATTCCTTATCTCTCTGTCTGACCCTGTGGCTATCTGCCTCTCTGCTCATTTGGATATCACATATTCAGCATTCTGTCTGCCAGCTTGTCTCTGGATAAATCACATTATCAGTCTATACTGTTGAGAAGAAAGGAAATACTCTGAGATGTCTGACAACTGGTCTCTTTGTTTGCACCAAGTTTGCATTCTTTTCCTTGACTATATCAATGATAATTTGTTAAGGTGATCTTCGCTGTGGGAAATCAGGGACTGTGTATGAGACAAGTGATACAGAAGGTAATCAAGTGTGTTAAAATGCTGCTGCAAAGGATGGCTGTTTCCCATTGTTATATTGAAAGAAGATGAGCGTGTGTGCTTAAGAGTGACTGCGTTTGTGCGGCAGGTTCAAAGTCACCTCGTCCCTGAGACTGAGAGGCTGGCACCACGCACATGCAGGCCTGTTCTCCGTCACGCATGTTCCTGCTCAAGAATGTGGAGGGAGGGAACATCTTTCCCCATTCTCATCCAATATTACCGCCCATCAATATTTGATTACTCTTGGACCCAATCAAAAGATTAATTTGTAGAGCAGGAAGCTGCTCAGTGGCACGTATGACTATGTGTGAGTGTATATGCATTATGTATGAAAGGTACCTTCCCTCAGACACAGACACACCTCTTCCCTTTAGCGTCTGTCCACAGCACCCAGTGACACACTAACCAACTTGAGTGCAATCAAGGCGTCAGCATATTTCATTAAGGTAGAGGAAGGCACTGTGTCAGACGTCCTTTCTCGCTGATAACGTGCTTATCTCAAGGATATTGCTCTGCAGCAAAGACGGGACACACAAAAACATCAGTTGCATGCGCGTGATGGGATGCTTTGAATCCCAGGTAGATTGTGTGGTTTTGTACACTCTAATGGTATAAGTGTAGCAGCTGCACATTAATTTCTCTGAGATAACCTCATTCATGTTCAATTTTTTAAATACATGGGTTGCACATAACATTGAATTTTGCTGACACAAGATATCACGAAGAATAAACTATACATTAGTTTGTAAAAATCCAGCAGAACACACACACTTTCATACTATGAATGCACAGAAAATTGTATATATGCTTGATTTATTAGGTTTTCTCATTCAGGTTAAGTGCCTTTTTAGGGGACATTGTCAGCAGACATGTATACTATTGATTGGGTCTTTCCAAAAGGGCCTTCATTACGTTAGCTGCCATAAACAAGACCAATGCATTTGGGGTAATGTCGCGTTTGTGTATTTTGATCACAGCCCTGAACAGAGCACCAGATTTCATGTTTAAACTGTACTCAGAAATGACTAGAACATGGCAGATAAGAGGGAGAACCACCGGCCTCCTATCATTTAAAGGGCATTTTCGAGAGCACAATTTTCTGTCCTCAGCAAGAGGAGTTCAGATAATGAAAATGCCATCTGTAAATGTCAAATGCCTTCTCTTTGTACATTAGTGTAAGGTATGATTTGGTGTGACTGACACATTAGAGAGACAGGAAGATTATCAGAGATAACAAGAGGCAGCCATCCAGCATCAGAAACCCAAGTGACTCTCACAATAAACAATGAGAAGATTGTGTTTTTAATCCTTTCTTTGTTTATTATTGCGCGTGACTAATAGTGATGCTCTGGGCTCTGATTTACAGATGAGCAGGAAGCAGTGCAGAAAAGGACATTCACAAAATGGATCAACTCCCACTTGGCAAAGGTAAGAAAGTCTGGTTGTGTTTCCCTGCTAGTGCCAGCATTGTGTTATCCATTTACACAAAAGCTGGTGCTGGTGTTTGTTTTAAAACTCCCCGATCTCCATGTTTTTCCACTGTGAGTGACTTTACTACATCCTGTGTGCATGCGCTGACATTTTCCAAGAGCTGGTCATGGGACTGCTTGTTTCAGCTCAGACCACACACGGTCCTTCATTCTTGCATGATTTTTTTGCTCCTTGTTATTCTGTCAGTTTCATATAGCTACTAGCAAGGATTTACTCTCACTCTAATTATCTATTTCATATTACAGCATTTAATACACTGTATGTCTTTTTCCCCTGCAAGCTAGAGTCATTAATTTACATTTTAGTAATCTCGCTATCTCAATATGGGCCAATTTAGATTGTTTAGGATAAGAGTTTTTCATTAAAGCATGCTCTTCATTTGTCCACTCAGTGGACAATATGTCTGTGCCTTATAGTAAACAAACACATTTGATGCTACTGCATGCTGAGGGGCCTGTAATTATTGCATTATACTACGTTAGGCTCATCAGTTTCGCTCATTAATGCTTAAATGTTATGTCAGGAATGGGCAGACAAGGCAAATATGGCACAGTGCAACACAATTAAGTGTTACTCCAATCAGTGACGCTCCTCTCAAGGTTCCCTATTTGATTACGACAGCTGTGGAGTTCTTGAACTGCGGTGACGTGGAGCTGAAAATTCATTTGAAGAGCACTCAGAAGGGAATAAACCGTGACGTAATATTAAACAAGCACGTCTCAGGACTGTGCCAGCAGAAAATTACACACACACAGCCCAATATTTAAATGCTGTGAATTTTTTATAAGATTCAAGGTATAACCACATACTTTATTTATCAAGCCTGCAGTTGACCAGAGCTGCAGTCCCTTTGTTATTTCATTGTGATTGAACATTTTGGAGAGGCATTCCCACGAAGCTTTGAGGGGGTAGTTCAACATTTTTTTGGTCAGATGAGTAAATTGAGAAAATGAACACATATCCCACATTTGCATTATAAATATGTAGATGAGTAGATCTAGTAGCTTATCTTCTTTTTTGGCTTCTCCTTTTATGGATCACCACAGATCATCTATCCTTTTTATCCTTTTCTGCCACACCAACCCTCTGTATGTCCTCCTTTACTATATCCCTGAACTTTTTCTGAGGTTCCTCTTTTCCTCTTCTCTGCCAGCTCCATTCTCAGCATCCTTTGCTCAATATATCCGCTATCCCTCCTCTTCAGACAGTAAAAAAAGTCCAGATATGTATCGATTCAGGGATGTGAAGCCTAGGAGACAGTGCCAAAGCAGCCAGTGTCTTAATTTTAATACATTTACAAACACAGTTAAACCAGGTGGTTTCTAAAATAAATAAATAAGTGGACGTAAAAAAAAAAAACCTTAGCTGTCTAAAGCTGACCATTTTTAACACAGGAGTCCAGGGAGACTGACCTCTTTTTGCAGTTTCAAGTGGCCATTCACAGGGCTGTAATTTTTGACACTTCAGCAATGGGCTCATTTTTCATCCCCGAGGTTGTTGCTTTGTCCTACTTCTATATTTACTCTAAGAGCCGAAGATTGGCATTTATTTCCTCACATAGCTTTCAGCAAGAAGGCCGGATGTCTAACTAATCTTTTAACCTAAAGTGGAAAAAGATCATTTTTGCTATATCAACACTCATGCACTAAAAACTCAATGAACTGATCCAACAAAGATCCCGGAGACTTCATTAAAATTCCATTTAAATTTGCCTTAATTAATGGATTCGGGTAATTAATAGATTAGTCATACCATCACACTTCCACTGGAAGAGAAAACCATATTTGTTCCTCATGCTTTTCCCTCTGCCGACTTGATCAAATTACGTATGTGATGTTCTCCTCGCTCATCACGAAGCTGCTTACACTTCCACCTGATGCCTGACGTTACCATAGTGATACTGATTGGCCTATATTTGTCTTAAAAATGTCTTGGCTGTCATAGCGGCTTGGTGAATTTTCAAAGAGCGTTGTGATGAGCAGGGGGTAAAGGTTCACCAACTTAAAGGTGGTGCAAAAAATAAAGAGAGCCATTTCTGGAATTCATCATTCTGCAGACTAGTAGAGATTATGTGGTATCTTATGGACTCACTATCACAAGAATAGCTAATCATACGCAAAAAGTAGTGTGAAAGTGAGACAGGAGGATAGAAGACAGAGAAGCTTTAACAGTTGGTTTAGCTTTACTCTCACAGGGATAAATCCTGCCCTTGGCTATGCAGATGATTAGGCCACTCCAGTTATCACAGGTCTTTAATTCACCGCCTAAAGGTATGTGATTAATCGTTAGGTGAGTTGAGCCATAGCATGAGGGCTTCCTTTTGCTATCACCGTCCTCCCCCTCACTTTACTACTCCACAGGTATAACAAAAGAAGTCTTACGGGCTCCGACAAAGACTTTCTATGAGAGGGGATGTATTGGAGCTGGTAATTTATACAGAAGATGAATGACTCTCATTAGTTCACCAGATTAACTCGCCAAAGATATGAACTATAAGAGAGCTGCAAGGTAGTATTTTTCCAGGGGGTGCATTTCATTTAGATAAAGGTTGATGTCGTTTAGACCCACACAGCAGTCACACTCAACTTGCAAAATTGCTCTCCTCACAGTGTATTTTATGTTGCACCCGGTAGTGGAGTGACACATGTGGAGGGGTTTCAGTCAGCGGACCCCAAATTTCCACTCTGACAAATCCTTTCTGAGAAGGTTAAAGCTTAATTACAGAGTGGCCAGTGTGAACTGCGGAGGTCTCGCCGTCTTTCAGGCGTTTTCCCGGGAAAACAGCTTTAGTTCAGCCATCAGTGAAGCAAGTGTTCTTTGAGATTAAAGAAGGAAGAGAAATGAAGCTCCCAGCTCCTCTCTTGGTGTTTACTCTCGGGTTAGAGCGAGGGGAGAGGGTGATACATCCCGTGCACATGAAGTTCAGAGACAGCAAATCATGGCACGTGGCATGTGCTTCAGTTAACTAAGCTGCTGTTATGTTTTTCAAAGTATTAAAAATTTCAATCAGCTAACTCTGCTTGTGGTGTCCTCTTAAATTGTTAAGTTGTGTTTATTTTTATTTTTTTAACGGCAGTGTTGCTTTCTTTCATTTCATTTCATTTCATACTTGTGTTTAGGAGTCATACAAGCTTGTTTTACATTGTGGACCACATACAACCCATTTTGATTTTAAGTGGGTCAGACAGGTAAAAAAAAAAACTATTTGTATCAGTGTAAAGATGTTTAACTACACATTTAATCCCTGAGATGTCTCAATATAAAAAAGTGTTATTTCACTGTTATTAAAAAGTGTTATTTCAACAGTATCTCTGTTTTTCTTCATGATAAAGAAAACTGCTGTATTAAATGCAGGAAACGTGCCAGCATGACTCTTTGGGCTTAAACTCTAAGAAGTAAATATGTAAAATTACAGAAAAATTCTGGTAACTTATTGCCTAAATTGCCCTGTAATTATAAAGTGAATCGTTTTTATTATTTATTTTTCTGTTAACACATTAAAAAAACTCCAGGCATTTAAATTCAAAAGAGACATTAATTGTTTGTCTATTACATATTAGTATGAATGGTGAAGGATGAGGTCTTTATCTGCTCGACAAGTTGTAAATTCATGAAAATATATTTAAAAGTCCAAAATGTTAGTCCTTCTTTTTAGTTGTCTCACTTCCTGCTTTATTTTTAGAGCTGTCCTTTGCTTAGTTTGTTTCCATCGTCTCGTCTACTGCGATTTAGTACAGCTGTGTCCCCAGCTGTTTCCACTTCCCCGATTGCCCTTCTGTGTGTATATAGACGCTCTCTCTCCTTGTCTTTGATCAGTGTCTGTTCTCCTTGCCCCAGTGTTGGTTAAACCTTTTGTTTCTGTAGTTTATATTTTTTTGATGTTCCCCTTTTTGGATTATTGCAACCAGCCAATAAACATTTCATTTAAGATTTCTCGGTTTGCCTCCACATTTCTGCATCCTGTAAGACTCCACATGGTCAGCAGCACAGCTGATAATGACAACAAGAAAGGCCCCAGCCAATGTATTTAGACCCACAACCCCGCCGCTGTGAGATGACAGTGCTGACTTTGCACAAGTCCTGCATGATTTTAATTGAAATGTTTCTACATGAGTGATTTTATGTGCCAATAATTCCCTGTCAGAATACCATCATCCTAAAAAGACTTCAAGTTTTTATTGTCCCTTCAAACTGGATGTATTGCAGCTCAAACTGAACCCTCTAAGTGTTCCCTTTGTTTCTGCCCCCTTCTGTGTCTTTCATGCTGTTGATCTTTTGGGATCCAGTCAAATGTACCGGGGGAATATCAAGAGAGCACAGACAGACGCACATCCTCAAACTCCTCTGCTCACAATCAATTACGACCCAGACGCTCATGTGTAATTAGCTCATTAAGTTCGTGATTTATTTTTTTTACCGCATGTTGCCGAGCAAAGGGAATGAATATTACTTTCTTTTTTTGTAATTAGTCTGAAATTTCCTCATTAGCTTTGGGATTATAATGAACAAATAGGTAAATTTGGCTTCAATTAGCTCATAGTATAATTTATCCCTCTGAATAGGATCTTTTTTAAGTGCTTCTTCTGTCAGGCTATGATACGGGCACAAGTGCTGTCTGAAAACCCTAATATCCAAAGCCATGAAACGACGTTAGAAGAGGAATTAGTGAGAAGCGCTGCTGCGTTTGCTAATTAAATTTGAAAGACTTGAGGTTAGTGTCCTGTCTCTCTCTGCCTCTGTCATGTTTTTCACTGCCACTCCTTCTACTCAATTAAACCCCTCTCTCATTTTCGCTTTGTTGGGGTTGTACATATATTTTCACTCTGGCTGCACACACACTCTTGCGCACATCTCTACTTTTTGCCTTCCCTCTCTTCACTCACTCCCTTTGCTGCTAATCTCCCTGTGAATGGTTCGCTCGTCTGAAAGCTCCCCCTCCCCTCTAAAGCTCTCCTCAGCCCCAGCATGTGACTGTGCTTTAAGAGAAATCCTTGATGTGGCGGCGGCGAAAAACTGAGATATGTGGATTTCCTCAAGTCTGGAAGTCTGTGTCAGGTCAGGGAGGAAGTCAATGGGAAGGATACAGTTTGAAATCATCAGCATATTTTAGGATTTGAAGAAGCCGTTCAGAGTCCTCTGAGCCGGCGCTTATGGATGAATCCAGCTGTCAGTAATACACGGCACCACCAAACTCTGTTTGGGCTCCTAGCACAGTTTTTTTATGAAGATTTCCTTTATCCATGTCCCACAAGTTTAAATGAATGTCTTACAGTTTAATATATGTATTATGTTAGGGTTATGTATGCACTATGCAGCTTTGTGGGGGATAATGTGCAGAAAAATACTTCTTACCTCAAAGTTTTCTGTACATTGCTAGACCTATTAGCTCTGTAATCCTGACTGTTTGCATTCCAAGAAAACTGGGAAAGCTTTGTGTGACATGAAACACTTATGTAAACAGTGATCCCTCCCCCTCTTTTTTTTTTTTGCACAAACAGTTACATAAATTCAGTCGCTTGTTTAGAAATATCTTGCCTGGAAAAAATGTGTTATTATAAAGTATGCACCTGCCTTCAGACGAGTGTTTTCAAGTCTTTCTCAATGTTAAAAACCACAATGTTTCTAGTTTAAGCATTGCACTTAAGTTTACTTATTTCATATGATGTGTGTGTTTTCTTCTGTAGCATGTCCCTCCCCTGGTGATGACCGATCTCTTTGAGGACATAAAAGATGGTGTGATGCTGCTGGCCTTGCTGGAAGTCCTTTCAGGACAAAAGCTGGTGAGCCTGTGGGTCATTTCTACATCATGGGATTTGGCTACAAGCTTCAAACACGTCCTCTCCTCTGATCTCTCTGGATTATATTTTCTACTTTCTCACACTGAACCGGCTCAGGCTGATGCAATAAAAGAGAAATACAATAATTTTTGAATGTTTGTTTGTCCAGTGGGCTGCAGACTTAATGCAGTGAATGTGAAATGAGCCAGAATTATATGGAAATGCCTATTGACTGACTTTTATTAGGATGTTTGAATTGAGTGGGAAAGCCCAGATTAACAAGGACAGATCAGAGTTCACAAACACAGACAAAGACACACACGGCTTGAGGATTACATTTGACCAATACTGCCTAAGGTCTAATCTGCCTCTGTCCTATTGATCCGTTTGTTTATAGTCTTTGATTGGAATTCTGAGTCTCATTATTTCAAAAACGTTTATGCTATATTTTTTTCTATGCTTTATTGTCTGTTTAAACTGTGCTAATTTCTTATACATGTACTGATACATTTTACCCTCCCGTTTTCTTTCCCTCTCAATATCTCTCTTGCTTCCTTTCCATATCCATTGTTCTCCCTTCTCCTTCCAGCCATGTGAACAGGGCAAGAAGCTAAAAAGGATCCACTGGGTCGCCAACATTGGTACAGCTCTTAAATTCCTTGAGGGTAGAAAGGTAAGAGTTCACCGCCTTCTTTTTATGTGTTTTTCTCTCTCTTTTTTTCTTAACCTTCCTGCTCCTCTCCCTGCTCATCTGGAGCCTTGTGGGCGCAAATATTGAATCTTGACCTCGTGTGACCCGCTTCTCTTTCCTTCTCGCCTCTCATTGTCTTCACATTCCCACATCCTTTGGGTATCCTGAAATTAGTAGATTCTCTCGATTTATATTTCCACAAATACTTTGTTTGTTAAATGTAATTCTGTCTTAACTACTTCATTACATTTAATTGTTTGGCTCCCTCTAAGAGATGGAGAAGAACGTCTCTCTCTCTTCAGCTGATTACCACTACACCTACTGCACTCCATGTTATTAGCACTTAGCAAATTCCTTTTCTCTGCTTCATTGGCAGAATTGCATCAGAAAAAACGCTCAATATGGTTTCGAATGTAATCATCTAAATGCATCAACTGCCCCTCCATGAGATTAGTAAAACGTTCTCAAAGTGTCGCCTGGCTCGTCCTTGGATATACATAAATAAAGCCATGAGTATGAGCTGACGTCTGCGGGGACACTGACTTGTCTTCCTCGAGTGTGACAGGGTTAAAACTGTAAATCCTAAACCAGTAATCTGCTGTCTGGAGATGAGACATCAGTGGGCACTCTGCTGCGTAAATCGGAGAGATGAAAATTAAACGTAAATATGCTCTCTGTGTGTGAAGCTGATGTACACACAGAGCATATTTACATTTTGCTTTAGATTGCCCATGTCTGCTCCGCGATTGTGTCTCGTGTCTGTGTCATAGAAAGTAAGTATTTGCTGGTGTAATGATGTTTACTGATGTTTGGAAACTGTTGAAACCCTGTGATGTAAAGCCTCCCTTCTGGGAAATTAGAGAAGCTGTCTAAAATGTAAATGAAAACTGGATGCAAAATCAGACCCCAATCATCGGTGATGACCCTGAACCTATGACGATATTCCCTTCACTTCTTTTAAAACATTGTTCTTGACAGTCAGGGATAAAAAAAATATTTCTAACTGACACAGATTAGGCACTCAGATCATGTGATTAGGGTTAGTTAATAAAGTCTCTGGTTAGGGTTTAGTCATTGAAAGCTGTGGTTATGGTTAGGGAAAACGACTGGGTTGGGTTGCCAGATCCTGAAATTGTTATGTCGGCTGTAACTGTACATAGTACATACCCCAGCCTGTAAGAAACTCTGAGATAGTTGCACAAGTCAGTGCATGACTCCCTTAAATTGAATTGTTAGAAAGAAGAGTTAGGGTTTGGGGTCATCACTGATGGTGTAGTAAACACCACCATGGTCATTTTCTCATTTTGATTTCGATCCCAGCAACATGTTTCACAAAACCTTGGACTGTGGCAACAAAATGCTCATAGAAATAAGATTCTTAAAAAATGTAGTAATAAATTATTATTTTAATGAGTAATAATTGGATGTAAACGAATGCCACGGAGAGATTGAGACTTTCTAAAGTAAAGATGGCGAGAAGTAAAAAAACCGAGTGTCAAATATTTAAACAATAAAAGAAGAACTCAAAGTCAAACTATTAAAAAAATGGTTGAATTTGGGTTTCATCATTTAATATGTTGCCTTTGACGTGTTATTAATATAATAAATTTAGATGATTGGTTACCTGTGATGGACAGGTCACCGCTCCAGTGTTTACCCCACCTTGAATGCAAACATCTGGGGTAGGTTCCAGTTTACCTGACCCTGAACTGGATAAGCAACTTAGAAAATGGATGGATAGTTTGTTAGCGTTTTACGCAGCTTCACAACTTTTTAGTTTTGCTATTTAGAGTTTAGTACAATTTATCCAAAGAAACACAACTACTGCTACTGTATATGCTTACTGCTGTCATTTTATACTGGTGTGTTTTCAGTGTGGTCACGCTATACCTCTGTTAACCACTCCAGCCTTGCATTACTGTTTTGATTTGCCAGGATAACCTGCTGTGTTTTTTAATATAACACCATGTATTGCATATGTTCTTATCAGTCACTATCCCACGGTTCCCCACGTTGCCCTCGTCTGCCCCCAATCTCGTTTTTCATGCTTGTTCACATGTGTGGAGTGGCAGGTATTACCATTAGATGACCTGTTGTGCTGCGGGGCCTCAGTAATACAACCCTCTATGTGATAATATACAATACTTCATCATATCACAAGATACAGCCTCCTCTCTCTCTCGTTTCTTGCTCCACTCGGCCCCTTTCTCCCTTTCTCTGTGTCCATCTCTGCTGGATATAATCCCTGTTGCCTGTGTAGTAGTGATAGATCTCTCCTCTCAGCCAACCACTCAAGTTATCTCACCTCAGAGATGCTACAGTATCTGCCTTTTCACAGTCAATCAGGCGTTTGCTTTCAATCATCTCCAGTACTTATGAATTATCTTTCTCCCCCTCCTCCTCTTCCTGTTCCACCTCCATCTGCCTCCAGTCTGCGTACAGAGGATCTCCGGTCAGTATTCATAACATTGCTCCACTTTTTTCTTTGTGATGTTGATAAATTGTGTCAGAAACATCTGCATGCAGGAGTTCTGATGATTACATGTGATTTCTCTTAAAGATGCACTGAAATTAGCTTGAACCTGTGGCTGTTTTGTTCTCAATCTGGATGTTAAGTTCACCTGCTTTAATGTGTGTAACGTTTGTATTTGTGCAGCTTTTTATCTTTTACATCACTCTATTGAAAAAGAGATTCTCAATCTCAGTAGGACTTGAACATACTGCCTGGCCAAAAAGTCACGTGCTCTTTTATTTCATTTGACTTAATTGCTGTGGTATGGTTTAGATAATCTTATGAATGTCCTAATATTTATTTTTGTCCATAAATGCATTATGTTTGTGACCACCATCTTGTATTGATGTTAGAAGAGTCTGATCAGTTCTCCAGCACATCCCAAAGATTCTCAATGGGGTTAAGGTTTAAAGTCTGTGGTGATCAACCCATGTGTGAAAATGATGGTTCACGCTCCCTGGACAACTCTTTCACACTGGTGCCCTCTTTGAATCCTGCCATTTTGATTTTTTTTTAAAATTGATGAAAAAAATCTGGTCATTAAGTAGATTCTGCTGACCTCATGTATTTTTTGGCCACATAACATTCCTGAACCAGACCAACTAAAGCAACCCCAAATCATAACACTTTTTCCATTGTTCCAGAGTTCAACCCGTTTGCTCCCAACTAAACTAAAGCTACTGATAAGTGGTTTTCTTTACCCTACACAGTTGTTTAGTCCTAATCCCATCAGTTTCCTTCACATTGTGTATAAGGAAAATCTTCTACTTTCACTAGTAGACTTATTTATTCATTATATTTGATTTCACCAAATATTTAAGTGATCTCTGACCACAGACAAGATTTTTTCCAGCTACATAATTTCTTTCTTGAGGATGAATGTTTAAGTCATGAGATAGGATATCGTTGTTTATGAAACAAGAAGCTAGTCGTAGCATCAGTTACACCCGAGCAATTGGACAGCAGAGAAAGAATGTAATTGTACAGAGAAATGCTTTTTCTTGGTACACATGACAATAAACGCTTTGAATCTTCTTAAATCCTATGGATGGCGCTTACTTTTTCGGTTAGTTAAATCCAGATGTTGAGCTTTTTTTTCTTTTTTTTTTGGCTGGGCAGTGTTTTTACATTACACTCTTTATTGTTAACTTTCTGAATAAAATTAGCTTATTGGGGTAATAGTAAAAAATTATAGATTAGTCTGCGATCTGGAAATATCTAGACCTTCTAATAGTGTAGTTTAATGCTGCTGCGTTTGGACACAGATCAAGTTGGTGAACATCAACTCAACAGACATCGTGGATGGACGGCCATCTATTGTCCTGGGGTTGGTGTGGACCATCATTCTCTATTTCCAGGTAACTTTTTGCAGCATTAGTGCGATTAGATCATCAGATTCAATGCGCATAATTCAGCGTTATTTTTTGAAAAACAGTGAGAAGAAAAACATGATGTGAATATTACTACTTGCTCACCACAAGAACCTTAACCTGACAGCTAACATGGCTGAGAATATCCAGTTGGCAGAGAGAGCAGATGTGTATTTTTCTAGTTATATATATCTAAAAATGAGCAATTTAAGCTTAAGGGACATAAAAAATAAGTTGATCTTTAAAAGTACTTACACTCAAAATAAACAGCATCTGCCTCAGGTAATTCAGACATGCAGAGAATAAATCAGAACTTAATACTCCACTCTGGTAGCAGCATCAGTACACATAAATGCCTGCTACTCCATCAGACATAAGGATATTCAATAAAGGAAATGTAGTGCACTAGTAAATGTACACTTTCACTTACTGACATATTGATTTGTTTTATTTATGGATTTTCTGAGTCTGCTGACTTTAGGGAACAGAAACTGTGGCTCATCCGCAGGCCTGATTGGATATTATCAGACTGAGCTCCCAATATAATAATTTACATGCTTGCTTAAATATGTCCGTTGACTCTATTCGTACAGATTCACAATTTTTGCTTTGTTCAACAAATAAAGTATGATTATAATGATACCACAGATAAAAAAATAATATTTAAGTAAAATGCGGCTGATGTATACAAGGATTAAAGCCACAGCTAGTTTGCAGACACGATTCCTGATAAGGTTGTTAGGAAAAGATTCTCACTCACAAGATCTAATAATTAAGCAAACAACTTGGAGCACACCTAAACTGGGAAAAACTAAGAACCAAAGTAACAAACCTGAAGGAGCCGGAGAGCAGAGCAACACAGGGCATGATAAACAGGGAGAAACGCAGTTGGATCACTAACTGTGGCTAAGCCTGACTTTAGTTGGTATTCTGTTGCTTCCAGATTGAGGAGTTAACCAGTAGCCTACCAGCACTCCATACCGTGTCCAGCAGCACCTCCTCACTGGACAGCTCCACCAGCAGCACTGAGATCACCAGCCCACCCGTCAAAAAGAAGACTCTTCCTCCTCTGCAGGGTGGAGCCAGGAAGGCATTACTGAGATGGGTCCAGCAGACAGCCACCAAGTATGAAGTCTGATTTGATGGTCAAGTGTTGCTGCAGGTTGTAGGTTATGTTTTGTTTTTCTCTGCTGTGATCTTGTAATTTTCTGTCCTTTCTAGAAGTCTGGGCCTTGAGGTGAGGGACTTTGGCCCCAGCTGGCGTACTGGTTTAGCATTCTTCGCGGTAATCAATGCTCTCCGGCCTAATCTTGTCGACATGGAGCGAGTATGGGGAAGGCCCAATCGGGAAAATCTTCATGAAGCCTTCTTGTTGGCCGAGACTGAGCTAGGGATTCCACAGCTTCTTGAGCCAGAGGGTAAATAACATTTCCAGTAGCATTTCGGAGTGACTCTGTCATGAAGTTTATCAAAAGCAAACTTGAGCCTGACCAGCAACAAACCTACAAGTAGGCATAAAATTACTATGTATTTTATTTCTTTTTATTGTCTTAACAGGGCTCTAGACTAACTTTTTGCCATGGTTGCACTGGTGCGCCTACATTTTTTTCTTAGGCGCACCAGTGCAAAAGTTAGGCACACCCAAATTTTTCAACCGCTTCACTTAACACCGCAGTTTCACATGTGCACTTTTTTTTGGGGGGGGGATTGCTGTCCATACAGACAATATTGATTTGTAAACGATTAACTAATAATCTTGTGCTTGTGCTTAAAGTGCTTTGGCACTCTTTGGCAATATTGTAGACAATGTTAAACTTAATCATCACATCGGCCTCCTCTGACGACCAGCACCTGTTTGCTGCTGCCTGCCGCTGAAAGGCAATGGGGAGAGGGGACACTTGGGCAGTGCATTTATCACGATTTGAGATGGAAAACTGTTCTTGAAGTACACAGAGAGAGAGAGAGAGCTGTGCATGAAGTGTGATTTTTTTTTATCGTGGAAGAGCAAAAAATAGCAAAAGTAAGAGAGAATTCATGACGATGTTTATCAAATGTGAAGCGTAGTTTGTTGATTCTTTTGCTGCTGGTTCAGTGAATTTTGGTTGGAGAGAGGCCGCTCAGAATCTAGTGCAGAAAAGACGTAAACACAGCGCAGACCTGACACATCAGAATCAGTGAGCTGTCGGCTTTCAGCCCCGATGTCGTGTGGAGTCCGTTAACCTGCTCTCATTTGCTGTTTGGTGGTTGTTGAAATAGTTTTGTGAGCTTTAACCTGAGAAAATTACCTGGAAAAAGACATTTATATTTAAAAGTCAATTCAGGATTTAATGAATCGATATCGCTTTATTCAAGCTACTCACCTCTCTCTGTCCACCTGCCCTGCACTTTCAAACATACACACGGACTACATGAATATCTGGACCACGATCAATCAGAGAGGTCCCGCCCCTGACTATCTTTGATTGGTTTAGACCACGATAGGGGCATAATGTGTGTCTGCTGTTGACCACACGGAGACGTTCGGAGTTGCGGAGTATTTATTTATTTTTTTGTTACTCAAACAGTTGGTCGCACCGGTGCAACCTAATATTTTTTTTAGTCGCACCATTAAAAAATTTGGTCGCACTCTAGAGCCCTGCTTAAAAATAATATTTTAGGTCGCTGACTGGATTCTCTCTGCTACAAAATACAGATTAATGCAGTAAAGAGGCAGATAGGCAGTCCACTGAAGCCATGGTGCATTATACACCTGCATATACCAAACACATCCTAAGCTGAAAAATGTCTTGTTTCTTCCTCTAACATGCTTCTTGCTCTGCTGCGTGGTGTTTCAATGTCACCACCACCCCGGCTTTCACCAGTACAAGGGGATGTTTACTCATTAAACCCAAATTTCTGTTACGATTTGCAGGAGAAGGACCCAAAAGTAGTCCTCCCCAAATGTCTAAAATATAAAACATATTCCTAAAAAGCTTCTTGAAAACAGACAGGGGGAACAGAAGGACAGGTAAACAAATGTTATGACAAAGACTAAGAAACCATACAGGACTATTTATACGCATGAAGGTAATCAAGGAGAGTAGAAACAGAAGGATACCAAAATACAGCTCAGTTAAATCAAGATGACGAGATAACAAGGGGGAAGTTAAACTAGACACAAGACTGAGGAGACAGTTGCCTACCATGGGGCATGAATACTGTCGGAAATGTTTGCAAGGCAAGTTTTAGAGAATAGAAATACTGTACAATACTGGGTCAGTCCTTGCATCAGATGTGCATCTCACTTTCACTGCCAGACACCATCTGCTCCCCTTCATGCCTGCCCTTCAAAATGTACTCCAGCAAATCAAGCTTGACATCAGCATAATTAAGGTGCATTAGGCCATGAGATCCAGCATGGCGGAACCCCCAAACAAAACTTGGACACTGATCTGAAATGGTGAAAATTGATTTTATTTGAGATGCCCGCTTGTCTCCTTCAGTCAAGCTGATTCTTATCAGCGGCTGATATTTTTCTCTATGAGAAAACTTGAAGAATTTACAGCCAGCTTATTTGACTTCTGATTTTATTTATTTGGTTCCCGTCTCAGATGTCGACGTAGAAAAGCCAGATGAGAAATCTGTCATGACATATGTAGCCCAATTCCTGAAGCATCTTCCAGAACGAAAGCAGAGCGGCTCCGAGGGACAGCTACAAGTAGAGGTAACCGGCTGTCTCGGTCTCGATAGCCTGTCGTTGTGATCATCTTCTCTCTTTCTGCATAGTGAATGTTTGTCTTTTGTATATGTATTTGTATGTTTGTATGTGTATTATTTATAATCATTTTGAGCTATCAAAGTGCAATGTTCAACGTTCAGGGGGAAAAGAAAAATCTGCTTGTCTAATTTTATATTTAATTGATTCAGAATTTAGTTAAAATCTCTTATTTAATGACTTGAAGCTATCTAGTTTTTAAAGTAGGTTGAAACGAGCTGCTGCAGTGTCTTGTCTGTTCTGTGTTTCGTTTTTGTACATCTTTCTCTCTTTGTGTTGCTCTTTGTCTTCTTCTCTGGTGCGTTTGTATGGTGACTGCTTTCCTGTGGTTGTTGTGCTGGACTCTGTTCTGCAGCATGATCTTGCACCTCGGGATATAGAGGAAATGTTGGAGGTAGGTTATTTAGCCACTTCGGTTCCCAGGGGAGAGTTTTCAATAATTTCCTCCAACGCAATGCAATTACCACCCATGATCATTCATGGTTTCCATATAAATTTGATTAAAGCACATTTTTCTGCCTCCTCTATTGGATTGCTGTATCAGTCCCTACTGTACTTTGTAAGAATGGGATTAAACACTGATTTTTCATGTCAAAATAAAGCCTGTATCCTAATATTGGCTCTTTATCTAACCTGATGTGATATTCGGGCCGCGGGGTTTCTAAGCCATGATAACGGAAGGAAGTCCAATATAATAAGATGTGATATTACCATTTATGAATGCTACCACTGAGCGCTTTGGCTCTCGGTCCCATTAGCATGACAATGAAGGCCTCTGGCATCGGCAGTGTGCACTGATACAGCATATTTGATGGAAAGCTTGTGAATAGAGGTTGGCCTTTTTTATTGTTTGCTGTGTCCAGATGTATGTCACACCGTGTTTTGCTGTTTTACAACACCGATAGGGTTTTTTGTTCTTCCTTACTTCCTGGTGTTTGCACTGGAGATTAATTAGCTGTGACAAAGCGTGAATTTAAAAAATAAACAGAAGCATAAACACTTGGGTAGAAAATATTTAGAGAATGATGGTGAGTAAAATATGGCAGACTGTTTCCTTTTAGAATTAACTTGATCTACTTCCATGTTCTGAGCTGTCATAGAGAATAAAGTTGGGGCTTCCTTCAGGAGGGGTGGTACAAGTGAATAGATTCAGACTGAACAGCTCTCAAACGGAATGGTCTATCGCACAAGCTTTTTAGCAGCATCGCATTATCGTCATGCTTATTTAAAATCCAATGAAATGTTCGTAGGGGGTCTTAGACAAAGTACCCTGTCTAAGCTGAGTGTTGTTGGCAGCTGTGGGTTTTTGACGTTTTGTCCTGCAGGGAGACACAGAGGATTAGGGGAACACATGTTTAACCGTGCATGCTCTGCTTTCTTGTTCCCTTCTTTCCTCTTTTCATCCCGGTCAATCACTTTTTCCACTCTGTCTTCTTTTCTTTCCTCCTTTTTTTTGGGTGCACTGTCCTCTTTTCTTTTATTTCCCAATCTCCTACTCGTTCACTCTGCCACTCCTGCATGATCCCGGCCACCTAGAGAGAGCAGCGAAAGAGCCTGAGGGAGCTCAGGATGTGGCTCGACCAGCTGGAGAGAGATGCAATACAGGCTCAGGAGACTGAGGGCAGTCTTGCTCAGCAGTACCAGGTTAGTGTGAGTGTGTGTGTGTCTGTGGCGGGGTGTGTTTAAACTGGGCACACTGGGCACAGACGCTCCTATTATTAGCTTAATCAGTGGTATTAGACTGTGGGGATCAGGCAGCAGCCGTCATATTTTCAGTCAATCTGGCTTATTCCACCAAGCCTCGGGATACATTCCATATTCAGCAGCATGTGGGATATCCTCATTGTCATTGCATAGCTCGGAAAGTCTAAAGCCAGATAGAGGGACAGTTTTTAAAGGTAGAACATATGAGGATCTGATAAGATGCAAATGGGAAAAGGGTATGACCTGTGAGGGAGAGAACACTCATTATCATCCTTTTATCGAGGATAAAGAGCTGTGAGTCAATGATTTTTGCTTTTCAGCTGTTCAAGAGTCTGCGTGTCCAGTTGGAGATGAGGAGGAAGCAGGTGGAGGGAGCTTTGCAGTCTACTCAGAGGGATGGGATGTTGACTGTGGATCAGGCTCTGGTCAAACAGGCCTGGGAAAGGATCTCCAAAAGGGTGAGAGCAGCGGGATTACCCACTCGCCTCCTGTTCAGAATTGTACACAGAGCATTTTCTTTCCATTCAGAAAAAGTGATATCTAAAGATATTTAAAGCTACTCCTGAAGGTCGATGGAGTGTTTACAATGTTCTAATTCATACATAAGGACTTCAGAAGGCATAATTTGAATTTATTTTGTGCTTTGCCAGCAACTCTGAGAATCAGCCATTTTTTAAGCTTGTATGATGATTTATTGTTTAAGGAAGAAGAAGAAATCCTTTTACCTTATTTGGGCTAACACAAGTTGTGTTTTTTATAAAGAGCTGATGACTTAGTGTCTCCTTCTTTTTTTTTTTATAGAAATTAAAAATTTAATTATTTGTGTGATGAGGTCATTATTTCAGGAGACATCGTCTGTTTTTATCCATCTTAGTTACTGGACTGGCATCTTCAGCTGGATAGGTCTCTGCCAGCTCCTCTGGACACAGTGGGAGCATGGCTGCACGAGGCCGAGGAAGCTCTGCGACAGGAGATAACCATCCAGCAGGCACATGATATCACAGCCAGCACTGTGCATAGAGCTCTGGAGCAGCACAAGGTTAGTGCAGAGCCATACATAGCACAATAGAGTGTGAGAATCAAACATACTATTAGAATGAACACAGAATGTATAAATACATTTTTATGTCTGTTTTCATATCTTTACTCGGTGTACTCTGCACAGGATGTGTTGAAGAGCCTGGAAAGTCACCAGCAGGTCTTTCAGAGAATCCATAAAGACAGAAGTGTTGATGGAGTGCCTGTTCCCCCAGACCAGCTCCAAGACATGGCTGAGAGGTAAACAAAACTCCTGCTAGTCTCTCTTGAAAGTGCAGAATACAAAATTAATGTTCTTCGTGGTAATGTTTTTCTGATAAGAACAGATTATTTGAAAGAAATTTGGCACCTCAGTCAGTGTGGTTTTTTTTCCACAACCTTGCTTTTTGGGAAAGCAGCAGTATGAGAAGGTCGAGGTATAGGTCTGATGTCCCTGTATGAACTGTGTCTTTTTTAGGATGAACTTTATCTCTACATCTTCTAGCATCCACTTAGCAAAAATGGAATTTCTGGAGAACAAACATCACATGCAGGCCTTCCTCAGTCTGGCTGAGTCCAAACTAAAGTCCTGGATCATCAAATATGGTCAACAGGAATCTGTGGAACTGATGCTTCACAGCTATATCGTAAGCTCAGTCTCTGATTTGTGTAGTTTGATCTTCAGGGTTCACCTGCATGCTTATGTGGAAAGGATTTTTAATTTTGAATTAATTTTTGTATATTGTATAATAATTATTGGTTGATGAAGGATAGTTACCATTACATAGCACATGTATAAGATATTTAGTTCTGTTTCTGTGTATCTGTTAAGATGCTTTTCACATCTAATAACATTTTCTTTTGGAATCTGTCTTCATCAGTTATTCGTGGAGAAGCAGTGTTTCTTTGAAAACTATGAGATGTTGTTCCAGTCTCTGAAACTGTCTGCAGAGGCGTATGTGAGTGCTGACAGCTCAGGTGAGTAGCTCAAGGTGTAATATTTACTATATGTATATATAAGCATTTATTATCCTATCACTTTCTTATAATAAAGTAATTCGGTAATTCTCCCGGGAAGTCTGGGAAATGTTTATCAATATCCTGGCCAGACAGTAATCTGAAAGGCGCTTTATTGCGATGATGTCAGAATCACACAAAATGTCCAACAATGCAATAAAGCAGTCCTGCTCATTGATTGGGAACATCATTATTATGTCACATTTCCAATGCATTCTCATCCTTTTAATGGAACTTTAATCTGAAATTGATCTGATACTTCCAGTGTATCCTGGCTGAGATCAGTATCTCTCAATTGTTCACTATATTTCAACTTTATTTCCCTTTTCAACAACTCACTAACCAATGAGGCTTTCCCTGCCAGCAGCTCAGTTTGCCCCTGACTGGTTTCACAATTTGATAGAGGAGGAGAGTCTGCAGGCTACAGCTAAATGAGGTTCCTCCACTCTCTGCTCTCAGTGGGGAATACGACCCCATTTGCTAGTTGGGGGGCTGCTCCACTTCTGCAGGTCTCTGGGCGCAAACTGAGCTAGCTTGTTGGTTTCATTAGGTTTCAGGGTTGCATTGCTTTAGGGTATGCAGAGCAGAGAAGTGAGGTGTGGTGAGAAATCAGGACATCTGAGGTTTGATTGGTCGACCCCACAAATGAAATGCAGCAGGTCCTGCTGGTACTGTAGTTAGCATCGTGGTTTCTGATTGGCTGCCTGAGAAAAATAAGGAAAAGGGTTAGGGTACTGATCTGTTTTTTGTCTCCCATTTTAGAAGCATTGCGTTTATCTGATGTGCGTCTTTATGCCATTGTTTTGCACATACTCTAACAACTAGAGAGTTTGCATCTAAGAATGTAGCACAAGTACAGATGATACATCTCCTTGTAGTGAGTTTTTGGGGTCAGGGAGTTTTCTGCAAAAGCGTGTGCCTCCTTTTGCTCTATCGAGTGTTCCCCTGCCTTTGCCAAAGTGTGGTGATGTGAAACAAAGCAGTGAAAGTCATCAGGCACACACAGACATAAAAGGTACAGCTGCAGCTTCAAAACAGCTGCTTCAGTGCTTCATTTTCCATTTGACTCTTGTGAATAAGTGACATTATTAGCGGCAGCAGAATCAGAGGTAATGGTGGTGTTGTCGGTAGCTGTCATTCTTGTTAAACTTTACCTCTCTTCCAGTGGATGAAGGCGAGATGGGAGTGCGCCGGTTTATGCGGGAGGTGGTGACTCAGTGGAGGAGCCTGTCCATGGAAGTGCGCAGCGTGAGGAGCATGCTGGAGGAAGTGCTGTCCAACTGGGAGAGGTACACCTCCACTGTGGCCTCTTTGCAGGCCTGGCTGGAAGATGCAGAGGAAGCCCTGAGCCAGCCAGAAAACACAAAACGGGTATGAGATTAGATCTTAGTACTGTCTGAGCCTTTGATTTTTTTACTTTATTTTTTCTGTGAACAGATTAGGAGCCTGTTCATACACCCATTTATTTGATGGACTCAGATTTAATTGTAGCAATCAAGCCATTTTGAAGAATTTAGTTTTTTTATGTGGAAGCTTATTAGGAGTCTCCACTCAAGTATCAAATGATCCTTCAACAAGCCGCTGAGGATATTCCTGTTGTTGCATTGCCATGGTTACATAGACTCACATCTCCGTCTAGGATTAGACATCTAATTACCCCACTTTTTTATTGTCCTTCCTTTGTTTCTTTCTTTGAATCACTTTCTTTGTTCCTTTTTTGATTAGCTTTCTTCATCTCTTTCTTTGACACTTGCTCTTTGTTTCTCTTAATTTCTTTGTCTTCCAGGAGTTTTTCAGGGATCTCAGCCACTGGATGGATCAGCATGCGGCCATGAACGATGCAGGGAATTTTCTTATTGAAACGTGTGACGAGACAGTGTCACTTGATCTCAAGCAGCAGCTACTCATTTTAAACGGGCGATGGAGAGACCTCTTCCTCAAAGTCAAACAAGTAATGAATGAAAACATCTAAAAATAGTGCCTGTCAGACAAAGACAGAATTGGGTCAAAACATATGTGCTGGCTCTGTTTGATTCATTTCTCAGTGTAAAGTGTAATTAGCTTCTTTTTTGCTGCAGTATGCCCATTCAGATGAGTTGGAGAAGTGGAGAAAAGAACACTTGAAGGCTATTTGGGCCCTGAAAGAGCTGCTGGACACTGCCGAAGCCAAACTCAATGCTCCTGTTCAAGTCTCTTTCCTCAGTGTTAGGGCTTTTCTTCAGGATGTGGAGGTGAGGAAAGCAAACTGTCAGTTTAACTGTCAAATGTAAAAGATAATATTGCCTGACAGTAAAAATACAACCTGTCAGTAATGTTTTTTTAAGCTGGTGGCATTGCAGCATCATGATACTTTAGATTTTCAATGGGCACCTACACTTACATACATACTTTATATTAGACCATCCCTGATCACATCGCTTAGAGTTTGTTTCACATCTGTTCTTTCTTAAGCTGATCGAGAATGACAAGCCTGACTCTGAAGTGGACCTAATATGCGTTTTCTTTTCTTTCTTTCTTTTCCTGTTGTGTTTATTTGCTGTTACTGATGGTGGGTACTCATGTTAAACATGGCCAAAGTTTCAAATATGGAACTAGATGGAGTTTTTTTTTACTCTTAGCTTTATGTGATTTCAAAGAGAATGGTCATCACAGCTCTTTTTAGGAACACAGCTGCCCCACACACCAACAGCAGGTGAAACGTAACTGTTTCAAGTCCTTCCAAGCCATTTTCAGACATGTAAACTCTCTTTTCCATGTTAAAGAGGGACTTTTAACAGGACTCTGTGTCATCCTGTTATAAGCTAACTTTAGCAGCAATAAATTGAAGTAATTGTTTGTGGTGTGTATTTATTGGTACACCTTTTAAGGTCCCAACACGGCATTTCAGTGGGGTTGTGGTCTGTTCCTTGGGCCATTAGAACAGTTTCTTTTTCAGTCCTTTTATTTTAGATTTGTTGCTGTGCTTGGGGATCATTGTCCTGTTGCATGAGCCAGGAATGTGTTACTCAGAGGAATTCAGGGTTGACTTAATGGCTATAAGGTGCCCAGATCCTGTGGCTGTAAAATGCACGCCCAAATCACTCCTCTTCCACCACACTTAATAGCTGGTGTCAGGTGTTTTGCTTGCAGATATGCTGTGTTTTATGACAAACTATCTCCACTCTGGTCTCATCTGTCCAAAGCACATTGTTCATATGTAACTTTGCAAGCCTAAGCGATCCCGCCATGTTCTTTTTTTAAAAGAGAACAAGCTTTCCCCTGGCAACCCATGCAAACTTGTTCATTCTCTTTCTAACTGTACTGTCATGAACTTTAACGTTTCACATGCTAACTGAAGCTTGTAGAGACTTAGAAGCTGCTCTTGAGTTTTTCCTGTTGATATTCTTCCTTTTTGACATGACTGTATTTCAGACTTTGTCTGAGAATTAGTTACATACAACAGACCATAGTCTATTTTAGATGCATTCCCACTATGCTGGCAATGCTGTCCTTGGTCTTGGCAATGGTACTATCTGGGTAGAGCATACAGAAGTAAGCTTGTGTGACGCCCACTCACTGTGAAATTCGGATAATTTTCTTCTCTGTACTCTAATGCATGGCACCAGATATCTGTCAGACTTTGTGGTGGTTAAAGGCAGCTAAAGATCTGATCTGAGAGCGTCCAGAATTTATGTCCCATAAATGCAGTTTCATCAGTTAATGCTTAGAAATGTTCATGACTGCAGTAAATAATGTCACTGGCTCAGGTCAACATGAATTGAAGCTCGAGCTCTCTTCCTCGCCTGAGACAAATCAGATAAAGTCACGCTTGAATCACGATAAAGTGAGATTTCACATCTGCACCCAATGTGCGAAAACGGCTTTACTCTCATACGTTTTTGATAAGGTGTTACTAAAAGCTGCAAGTCACTGCTTTATTGATGTCAGCATTTTTATTACTAAAACAGCTTTGATGGCAGTGCATTCACTTTAAGAACGTATGAAATGACCCTTTACCCTTGCACGTCACATCGCAGAATACCAAGCAAAAGGTTGTCGCTATGGAGACACAATACAAGTTGGCTGCCCGCAGCGCTCAGCTCCTTGCCAAGGATGCTCCACAGGATGAGGCAACCAGGGTCATGGCAACTATGGCAACAGTCAAAGGTCAACTAAGCAAGGTGAGTCTCATTTGAGGGTAAACACAAAGCCTTTTAAATTAATACATTTTTTCACTGTTAAGCGGTCCGTTTTGCATCTGTTCAGGTGAGAGAGCGGTGCCCATCTCTGATGCGGGAGTGTCATGCCTTTCTGCCGCTGTTGGAGGAGATGGAGAAACACATCAACACTTTTTACCAGGCCTTGGAGCGAGCGAGTCGCATCACTTCTGCTGCGAGAGACCCAGAGTCACAGGCACAAGCCCAGCAAAAATACAAGTGGCAGGTCAGACACGAACACGTTAAATTTACAATAAGTGCTTACTAGATATGTTTTTATTCTTTTTTCAGTTTATTTTTATTTTTTCACAGTTATTATGGATATGAGCTGCCAGCTCCATAAGCAGTGATCTGCATTTACAACACTACAGTCCTGTTGATGTATCTTTTATGTATTATTGTTCCCTTCTTTTATATTCAAATCTGATGCACGCTGACAGAAAATAATAACTCCCCTCAAACGTCTTCAAAGCAATGAGCCTCTTATGAAAATTCAAGGAGTAGAAAGAAAAGATATTTGTTTTGAAATGTAGCTTACTTAAAATATGTGCTTACTTTACTCTGAGGAGCATTATTGTGTCATTTCTAGATGCAGTTTTCTGCAGTGAACCACTTCCCATCTTTACTTCTGGGGAACTCTGCATCTCTAAGATGCTCTTTCTATACTCAGTAATGTTACTGACCTGTTTCCAGTTAACCTAATTATAGCAAAGTGTTTCTCCAGCTGTTTCTTTTTTAACACCACTTACTTTTGTCGCCCCCTTTCCCAACTTTTTTGAGATGCGTTGCTGCCATCAAATTAAAATGAGCTCATATTTTTCATGGAATGATAACATTATCTCAGGTTAAACTAATATTTTCTGTGTCCCATTGTGAATAAAATATGAGTCTATGACATTTGCAAGTCATTGCATTTTGTTTTTATTTACAATTTACACTGTGTCCAAACTTGTAAAAGTCTATCCATCCGTTTTCTTCCACTCATCCAGTTCAGTGACTGTCGGCTTGTCCAGTGTGCACGCTGCCTCGCTAAATTGGATAGCTAGATAAGAAAATGGATGGACAGATGGATGGATATTGGAAACACAAGTAATTTTTTGAAACTTCTTGTTTCCCCTTTTGTGACAGGATTTGTTAAACCATCAGCAAAGCTGTAAACGATGTTTATCGGTGATTGAGAGGAACCACCACTCCCTGCAGAGGGCGCTCTCCACCAGTAAGGTGCTCAGGAACTTCGACATATCGTTGCTGCAAAAGAGAGTTGTTGAAATTCAGGGCTCGGCACAGGTTAGTATTACAGTTATGCATTACATGCATTTGCATACCAGAATGCCAGTCAGAAACCACAATACTGATTATACTATAGAGATTACACAGACATCAGAAAAACACAAGGGATTCGTGCAGATTAGATTTACCCACCATGTGTGTTACTGTTCATTTGTTTGTAGGACAAATAATGTAATTACACTGTATTACTACTATCTAACCTCTCAGGCTTTGCTAAAGGAGGTTGGGGAATGGAGAAGGCAGGAAGAGGCCAACAACTCCCTGAGGAGGAGATTTGAGGAATCACGACAAGAGCTGGAGAAAGTGCTGAAGAAAGCTCAGGGCTGCTTGAGAGAGACTGGAGATGCTGAGGAATTATTAAAGAAACACACTGTAAGATTAAATCTGTAACCTCTAAGCATGTCTGTGAAAGCTGCGGCTAATCTGCAGAGGCATTTCTATTTTCTAATTACATTTTTAAGTGGAAACGGGTAGAGTGTTAACATTCTTGACTTAACTTTTACTCTGTCTTGTGTCGTGTTTACTCTTATTTTATTTTACATTACAGGATTTCTTTGGACAGCTGGACCAGCGGGTGCTGAGCGTGTTTTTGAAAGCGTGTGATGAGCTCACGGACATCCTGCCACAGGAGGAGCAACAGGGGCTGCAGGAAACTGTCCGCAGGCTGCACAAACTCTGGAAGGTCAGAGGTCACCATGGTTTACCACTCTCACTAATTACTGTACACCTCTTGAGGCGCATAAGCACTACTTCTAACTTAACCAGGAAAACCTTTGGCTTCAATAGAGTCCCTCCAGTCTGGTTCCAATTAACCTGGTTAGATAAAAATGCAACCCTCTCCGTGTTTATTTGCAGCCACTCCAGGGAACTTTTGATCAGTGACAGATACAATGTGACACTTAAGGGTAGCTTTCAGGTCTGCTATGTTTTGTCTCATCTCCATCTTTTTTACAGGACATGCAGAGCGAGGTACCATCTCACCTACTCCGTCTCAAGGTGGATGTGGAGCGAAGCCGAGTTGCTGTGATCCTGCAAGACTGCAGAGCAGAGCTGCACAGAGAAATGCAAGCCCTGTCTGGCACCTGCACCAGCGAGCGAGTGATCAAAGAGCACAGAGTGAGTCTCGGATTTAGTGGAAAATTGAAACAGATAGAACTGAAAATCAGAGAAAGACAAAATCACTTAATGTTGTTATCACTGACATTCGGGAGCCTCTCATATCTTAATTTTCTTTTTTTTTCTTCTTCCTCAGACTTTCTTCAGGGAACGCAAACCTTTAATTCAGAGCGAGAGGAGGATTAGAAACATGGAGGATCTGTGTTACAAGTTGCCTGACAACGACCAAGCTTATCGAATGCTTGACTGCACTAGAAGGGCCGTAGAAGAGGTTACAGAACAGATAAAGAGCACCCACCTCAAGCTGGAGCAGCACCCTGATAAATGGAAAGAGTGGAATGAGAGGTAAAGATGGGCAAAAAGCACAGATTTAAAGTGATTTAAAGCAAATTCAGAACTCAGTGGTCCATTTTTATTTTAGGTTCTGCGAGCTTTCTGATTGGCTCTCATCTCAAAAAAGGCAAATGAGGCTCTTAAGAGGAACAGCAATAACTTCCAGTCATCAGGAGCAGCTTGATGCTGCTGTTCAGGTGAGCTAGTGGGCTACATTTGCTGCTTTAGGCACTGAGATTAGGCTATACTTCAACTTCAGCTAACATCTAGTGCTTCCATCAATTCCAGGCACTACAGGAAGCAGTGGACACTCGAGAGGAGAGTCTGCTGTGGCTCAAGAGCCGCCTTGCTGTGCTGTCTGAAGTTAGCTCTGAAGTGGAAGTCCAAAGGCAAAGAGCAGCCTTGGCTAAACTCTCAACTGACCTGCGGGCAGTTTACTCTTCACTCTGTCAGGTATTCCAGGATAAGTGCTGAATATTCTCTTCCGTACTGAAAATTTTCATCAAAAAATAATCCAATGACCTTTTTGCCACAGCTGGGTGATGAGGGCTCTGCCATGTTCCAGTATGAGGAGCTGAGGGACGAGATTCATGGTGCTCTGGAGGAGGTTCTGAGGGCCCGAAAAGAGGCTGAGGAGCAGATAGGCAGAATTCTGGATGCTGAGGGTTTGGAGGAAGCCAAACAACTTTACCTTATTCACCAGGTACTTGTTTAGTACAAATGCACTTGTAACAACTTGGTTTCCATGTTTGAAAGTCTCTTTTGTATTTAATTTAACTGTTTAACAGTTTACAGTATGAATGGTTTGAGCAAGGCAAAGCAAAATCAAGGTTGCTCACAAAATAGCATGTTGTTTTTGTGTCTGTGTGTTATAGCAACACCTAAAGCACCTGCATGCTAACAGGAGAGAGGCAGAGCTTCTGGTGTCCCACTGCCGCCAGCTGCAGAAAGGGGAGGGGCTCAGTCAATCTCTACGGGAGCTGGAAGGAGCTTTCAGTGAGGCTGACCACAAATCAGGGGCAAAGGAGCAAAATCTGCAGGTAGGCAGAGCCAAGATTTTTCTCATGTCGGCGCCCTGGTGTTTGCACGTGTGAGTGTCATTGATCATCCACACACATTCCCGCTGTGATAATTGATTAGCCTATTGCTGACTGTTATCCTGCACGTTAATTTTGTTTGTTACTTTGTGATTTCTTTGTACACTTGTCGTTATCCTTGAATTGATCAGAAAATTAAAAGTAAATGTCGGTCTATTTTAAGACAGCAGATCATCTGCTGTCGTAAAATACCCTATGCTTACAGATGAAATCAGGAGAATGGCAGTAAATATTACAGTGCCCATCTCCTTTGTGTAAATAGTGCATGTTATCATCAGGTCTGAATTTGTACCTGCTAATGTTACTCTTTCATTTCTTTGTCACTTCAAGGCAACGCTGAGCTCCTGGGAAAGTTTCGAAGCAGAAAGAGAAACAGTTTGGAGGTTCATCAGCAATACTGACAATGAATTGCACAAGGAACTCCTTTTCAATTGCTTGGACAGCCTGAAAATTGAACTGAAGCATAACAAGGTGTGTATGTGCAAAACGTGCATGCATTCATATTCTGGTTTAGTGGCCTGTATTTGCTCATGTTGTGTAACTGCTTGTTTTTCGGTCTATAGGAACTCTTCACGGAGGTCGAGGAGTACTCTATACGAGCAGATCTCCTCTCAGAGAAAGCAGAAGACATTCAGCTTGGTCCGAAGACTCAGACTCTTCTCCTGCAGCAGGCGCAGTCCACCAGAGAAGCAATCGCACAACTTCAAGACCACCTCAACAAGAAGTATGTCTGAATATTTTCTTCTATTACATGCAATAAAGGTCTGAAATGTGGTACGGGCCTTAACTGGCAGTTTTACAAGTGCCCAATAATGAGCTTTAAGTGTAAAAACTAACTTGTGATATTAGTCTGAAAAAACCTAAAGTATCAAAATGTAAAATTGTATTTTGCCAACATATGATGTCTGTCTGGCATTCACCTGCAAATTGCATCCATGCTATTGTCTGGTTGTTTGTTTTCATTCCAATATTCTGACCTTGGGCTGTTGCCTAATCTCATGTGTCCCAGTGTTGTCCAGCTGGAGATGATATTTGTGTGGTGGGAGCGCTTCAGCAGTGAATCAGCGGCCTTCTTTCTTTGGATCAATCAGAAACAGAAGGAGCTGGAGGCTGTCAACATTTTCTCCTCCTCTGATCCTTTAGACAAACACATCAGCGCTGTAAAGGTTTGTGCAGGTCTATATTTCTATCACAGCATTACATTGTATACCTGATCACAAGGTTTCCAATTGGAGGTCAGTCAAAGGTGAGGCAGTTCACTGCACACTTTTTACACAACTTCTTAAATATTTTTTATATCTTCACAAGTAAATATTCATCATATTTTTTGGTTGCTTCAGTTAAACTGGAGTCACATTGCTGTCTGGTCTTGTGTCTGTAGTTTACAGTATCACTGTGGCCCAAAATGATTAAGATTATGATGAAATGAGATTAAATTTTAATCTAACCCCAAGGGAAATTGGGTCAGTGCTGTAGCAGAGGCTGGAATTTAAAGGAAATAAATTGATCATATTTAATAAAATATAATCTTGGCATGCCTAATCCCAGACTTGTCACTCTCAGGATGGTTTTTAGAAAAAAAAAAGGATACTGCCATTATCTGCCTTTTTTTTCTTCTCAGTTTGAAAATAAATTTCTTCTTGAAAGAGCGATCTTTTATCGTCGTAATTTCCTGTATGCTTTCCCTCGTTGAATTCCTCTCTTATTGCATCTCTCCAGGCCGTGGGGGAAGCTTTAGAGGAGAGAAAGGCGGTTCTTGTCCTCATGGAGGCCGACTGTGAGGCTCTGTCCAGGTTTGTGACTTCTGGAGAGGCCGGTCGCATCCGGGCGCAACTTAACCAGACGAGACAATACTGGGAAGAGCTGAAGGGGAGAGCAGAGCAGCTTGGCGTGCAGCTCAACCAGAGCGCCTCCTACAGGCAGAGATGCAATGATAACCTTGAACAGGTTTAGAGCATCACACAATTTATGACTTTTATTAAAGGTATTTTATCACACAATACAAACGGACTTTTTTATTTTTATTATCAGGTTAGGAAAACAGTTAGTGAGCTGAATGAAAAACTGGACTGTCTGATCACATGCTGCGTATCGTCATTAGAGACCTACAAAGCCCTCCAGGATCACATTGTAAGAGCACAACTTGGCACCTCTTTGATACATGAATAAGTATCACTGGCTTCCTTTTCAGAGTGGTGCCATGTTATTATGTTGTATTTTCAAGGGTTTACTTAATGTGCAGTTGATAACAAGTATTTTTGTGTTTATCCCAGGAGGTCTGCCAGACTGTTGAGCTTCTGAAGCCCAGGCTTATGGCCCTGTGTTCGGCCACAAAAAGGCTTGGAGAGGGCAGCCAGCTGGAGGAAGAAGTGGCTAACCTCCAGGAGCAGCAGAGAGAGTTAATGGAAAAGGCTTCAGAAAAGAAATCTATGTTAGAGAGCCTTCTAGCTCTGTGGCAGAGGTACAATAAACTGCAAAATGTGGTTGCTTTTGTCCTAGACCAGGGATGTCAAGCTCATTTTGTCTGGAGGGCCACATCAACTTTGTGTTAGTGTAAAGTTGTTTAACTACACATTTATTTCCCTTTTATATATTAATAAAAGATAAAGAAGTGCAATTTCAACAGCACATCTTAGTTTTTCTACACGATAAAGTTTTCTGTCATTTGCTTGTTTATCTATTACTTAATATGAATGGTAATAAAAATCACTGTGGGGAGGTCTTTAACAGCAGGAAAAGCTGCAAAACATCTAAAAATACAGTTAAAAGTCTAAAAATATATCATCTCCTTCATGTTTTCCAAAGCTGTCCCAGCAGGCCAGATTGGAGAAATTGCCGGGCCAATTCTGGCCCCGGGCTCTTATGTTGATACCGGTGTCCTAGACCTTTTGGAAAATGAGCATTAGTACAGGAAAAAGTCAGTGTTTGTCTGGGATAGAAGAGACAAATGCTAGACAATGAGAAAAGAGTGTTAATTGTTAAACTGAAGGCATGAGTCACTGTTCACTGTAATGTGTGAAGATTTATCCATTTAGTTTAGTGTTTAGAGTTTATTGTGCTTTGGTATGGCCCAAAGCAGGGTTTCGGGTGTATGTGTCCCTTCAACACTTTTGTATTACTGTAGGGTCTTTACATTACAATATAAAGCGCCTTGAGGCAACTGTTGTCGTGATTTGGTGCCGTATAGATAAACACCTACAACGGGCCTGTTTGAATATTTCAGATTTTGCCACATTGAAAAAAAAAACATAAAGTCAAAAAGTACATTTATAAAAATGGAGAAATACATTATAAGTCATTTTTTGAGAAACATCTGTAGTCTCCATTAGCACACACCTGCAGTTGAATAAGCAAATGCCATTTTCCCTTCTATTGTGCATGTGCTGTTTCTGCTTCTCTCTGTGCCAGTTTCCTCTTTATTCCTCTGAATCTGTCTCTCATCTTAGTGTGATGTGGAAGAGCGAGATCTTGTCTGTCCCCCTGTCAGCCAGTGCATTTCTATTCTAATTATATGCTTTCTTATCGCTTTCTTTTGTCACACAATAGTCCTTCACCGGAGTGATTGTTTCTTTTCTGTTTAAGCGTGAGGAGAAAATAATGATCTAGCCACATGCTGGCTGTTTAAATTGCCCAAGCTTTAGCGCTTCCTTTTATTTACCCAGCCGGTGACTCTTTTTGAAATGAACTCAATTATGTTTTTGCCACTAAACTTCAGCAGAGTTTATGTGTGTCTGTTTGTGTGTGTGTTTGGCTTAGTGTCTCTGCAGTTAGCCTCATCCTGTATCCTGCAGGTATATGTATAAGGGATTACTTCCAGCACTGGGTGCACTGGGAAGATATGGTTGCCCCATTATGACCTTGTCACTGATACTAGGCTTTGGTCAGATTTAAGGGGGAAAAAAAAAGTGAACTTGTAATTGTGTGTGTCCGAAGGGGATGCAACTTATATTTTCCTTGATTTTAATACATGCAACATCTGCATCTACAGATATGAAAAGGAAAATTTGTCCATGAAAAGCTGGCTGGACAGGTGTGAGTCTGTGTGCTGCCCAGACACCGAACTGCTCTCTGCAGATAAAGTAAAGCTTAGGAATGAATTACAAAATGTGCAGGTAAAATCTTTTTACTTTTCTGTATTTGTTTCTACAAGAAAGTTTTGTTATTTTATCTAATTTGCATTGATGATATGCCTATCCAGGAAATGCAGGTAGAGACGGTGTCACACGAGACTCTCCTTCAGGGTCTCGTGAATCTCGGCCTTTGCTTGTACCCCACGGCACCCGAAGCTCGTATCCAGGAGCTCAGTGATGATCTCACACAACTACAGGAGAGATGCGCTTCTGTGAAGAACAGCATATTACGCAGGTACCTTTTAGGGTGATTGATTATGATATAGCTTATTTACATCTGGGTTACAGTATGTGAATGGATCCTAGCATTTTTTTTTAAAATTTACATTTAAAACAGTCACTTCCATATTCTCAGTCCATGTTTTTCCCACCCTCACTTTTAGGATAAAGCGGTTGGAGCTGCACTTGGAGCACTTGGAGCAGTTTGATCAGGCACTGCTGCCCCTTACCCAGTGGAGTGAAAACTTCCTGTCTCTTTTGAGAAGCTCTTCCCAGGTTGATATTGCTGATCTTGAGGCTGTGTTTATTAAGCTGAAGGTGAGAGATCAATAACTTGCTGTCAGCACTGATGTCCTTTATAGGCTGTATGTATATTGGAGCAGTTTTAGTAAACAAGTTTGCATCGATTGCTGTTGGAGCTCACATAAATGTGTCTAATTGAACAATCGTGTTGCAGGAGCATGAGGCACAGCTACAGGAGAATGCATCACTGAGAGAGACTCTCCATAAAAAAGAGTCCTTCCTGCTTTGCTCTTCCACCCCAGAGGCCCAAGAGCAGCTCCAGGCATGGAGAGAGGACTGCCTGCAACCTCTCAGTGAATCCCAACGTCTCCTGCTGCTTCGTAAAGAGTGCCTGACCGAGTTAAACACTTTCCTCGAGAAGCATAAAATGGCTGCTAAGGCCGTGCGTCGCCTTCATGAGGCTGTGGAGGGCAGAGGGAGCTGGGACCCTTCCAAAGCTGAAGAGCTGCATCGCGAAATAGGAGAGGTGGCTAAAGAAGTGGCCCGACTAGAGGCTGAAGCTGTCGGGTTAGATGGGCAGCTGAGCAAAGCACATCTGCACCTGTGTGGAGCAGAGTGGAGGGGATCTAAAGATGCCAGCCATCCTCAGGGAAGAACATCTTGCAGAGGACAGGCAGTGGCCCTGACAGTGGCTCTGGAGGAGGTGCAGAGGGGTGTGGGGTGGAGACAAAGTGAAGCGGATGCTTTAGGGGCTTTGTGGAGCTCCTTCAGAGAGAGAAGAGAAGAAGTGATGAAGAATTTGAAGAAACTGTTGGACGATGCAAGACAGGAGGGCATCAGAGAGAGCTCTGTACAGGCCTTTCACAACAGGTTTGTTCATTTTAATTTTGACACTTCAGCCCAGTAAATATATCAGTATTCATAGTATCAGCACAGTTGGTAATGTCGGCTTTCAGTAGTAATAATGCTGTCAGTCCTTGCTTCATTTCTACTGCCTACTATGAACCTTTAATTCAAAGATCTACTGTATGCCAGAGCCTATTGTCTATTACAGAAGCCAACATACAGGCAGACAAATTTAATCTCCTGGAAATTGAGATGTAATATGTTGGAATCAGGCTACTAATCTCCATTGTTTTCTTCTGCATCTATTCTCCCAGGATGCGTTTCTTTGTCCAGCTGGAGGATGAGCTCCAGTCCCTGCAGCACTCGCAACGGTGGTTAGAAGAAAAGGGAAACCAGCTGGCCCAGAGAGACAGTGAGCTGGCAGGAGAAGCACTCAGGGAGGTAGCTCTGGTGAAGACAGCCTGGGATAACGTCAGGACGCTAATCATCAACAGGTAAGAGATTAATTTTCTCTCACCCATCTGTTTTTTTCCATCTTTTACCACCTGCTTTAAAAAAAATTATATATTTGACGTTTTCTGATTTGTTTTAACATGCAGTCAGGAACACAGTGGAGTTGTGTTAGATCTTCTTCGCCAGTTCCACCACCTGAAGTCGATCCTCACCACACTCATGGAGAGCGCTCAGGCCGTCGCTCACAATCTGCCCGACCACAACCACAGTGCTCAGGAAGCCAAAAGGACTTTCACGCAAGTCAGTAGTTTATGTTTATTCTCAGAAAAGTATTGAATTATTACATTTCTGTGCATCAGACTAAAAAAAAATGACCATCACAGAATTGCTTGGGGAAAAATATACAAGGAAAAGTAATTTCTCTAAATAAATACAAAAGAAATTATTCAAGGGATGAGGGACATTAAAAAAATCCACTAACTAGAAAACTACTTGACCCAGGTGCTTCAATTTTTTATAGGTTGGTTTCTACCAATCTACTTTGTGATTAGGGATAGTTGCAAAGGCACCCAGCACACATGCTCTCTTCTTGGCCAGAAAAAAACTTGGCTGTGAAGGGTGGATAAATTGAATGAAAACATCTTGCTCTGCTTTCAAAACAGTCTTTGGCTGCTATACATAAAAATGAGTGCCTTATAAAACTCATAATGACAAAATGTGAAAAATGATCATCAGAAATTTGGGATATAATATATAATATTAAGAGAAATCTGCTTCTTCTAATTAAGTGAGTTTATATTTTGTACATGGTGTCATGGCTGAAGAAATTATACTGAAGTTGGGTCTAAATGTGGGTTTTTGTTTTGTGGTAGGGGTTTCATATTCGATCTGTAATCTCTGTAAAACCTTTCACCTGATTTGGACTGTTTTTTAAAAAATAAAAAAAAGATGTGCCCTGTATATGAGAAATTATCAACAAACATCAGTTCATCAACTCAAAATTATGATTTCCACAGATCTGGCATCGGGGATTGGAGTTACATCATTGTATGTTAGCTTAAGTTATCCTCATGTTCATAGAGCCATACTACCAGATACTTAATAACAATTGAATGCCATGCTTAAGTAGTTTTTTAATAGCACGATTTTAAAAAGGGCTACTAGGAAAAGCATTTGAAAAGATGTTTTTGAGAAGATCTATTGATTGGTGTGAGGGATTTGATGAGCTAACATGAAATGAACCTATTGTTAATTTTAAAGAATTTATACAGTAGTAATTTATATAGTAATCAAATTGGTAACTTTAATTGTGAGCCTTGTTATGGAGTCAAAAAGGACAGTATCCATTCCTCTCAAAGATTTTTTTTTTTTCATTGTTATGACTTGTTGGAACTTTTGATGGTCGAAAGTGTTTATTCATTGTGATTTTACCTACTATAATGAGTTAAAATATCTACTACTGTTAAAACCGGATATGATAGATCCAAGTATGATTTTATTTTTTGTATGAAAACTTATGTAATAATGTTTTTATGAGCTAAGAAGAAAAATCAGCTTTAGTGTCATTTTCTGGTAATTCAATGAGTTTTAAGTGAGTAATAATCTGTTTTCATCAAGGAAATTAGTCTGAAAAGTTTCACAGCTTTCTCTGTGGTTTGACTGTTTTTATTGTATATTAGAAACAAACAGGAGGTGGAGGAAGAAGAAACTTGTCTTATATTTATTTAGCAAACCAAATCTCAGAAACTTACCTCCCCACTGAACAGTATCTCTCCCTCCTGTTGCCATTTCCCTTGCTGTGTTCTCTTCAGCATAAAGCCATAAAAGATGAACTGAGAGAAAAACAGGAAGACATGGACCAGCTCATCAGGACGGTCGAGGACCTGCAGAGGGAGCTGGAGAAGGTTCCCAACTGTGAAATGTCCTCCATCCAGAGAGACACAGAGACACTTAGAGAGCAGTGGCTGGCGGTGAGTAGTCTTTAGTAAAGATAAATGCACAATACTGACTTTCTGTTATTTCAGGTGTTTTGAAGTGAAATATTTTTGTAACATCAAAAAGTTTCCCAGAATTTTCCACATCTAAATAAAAAACTGAAAAAAAAATCCATAAACTATAAATGGTGTTTTCCCCGAGTCTGGGCCTGAAGTACAATAATAACTATGAAGGGTATGAACAAATCTGTGTGAGTATAAAAAAACATTCATCTCTGCTGAACACCTGCACCGTCACTTTTTTCAATTATATTTTTTCTCTGCTTTTTCTTTTCTTTTATCTACATTTTCTCCTCTTTTGAGTTGTTGTTGTCTGCTCAGCTGTCGAAATGAGACAGAGAAATAAATAAGTCTAGACAGGTTATCTGCGTCTCTGTCTCTCTCTCTCGCTTCTCACTTGCACATCTGTCAGACTAATTAGGCAGCGATTTTCTTCCATCTCCCTGTAAAGCATACATCCCCTGTTACAGAGAGAAAGCCAAACACAAAGGAGGTGGGCCTTCCTCTCCTCTTGATTGAGATGTATTATTCTCTTACATACCTCACATAGTCTCCTGGTCTCTCTTTTTCTCTTTTAAGATCGCAGAGAAAATACAAACCAATACAGAAAGATTAGGCTACTGTGTGAAACTCTGGGATGACCTCAAGGCCGCAGAGCAGGACATCAACCAGTGGACCAGTGGATCCATCGCTGATCTAACCGACGCTGTCGCCAGTCTCAGTGACAAGGAGAAGACAGAGGCCCAGCTTGTGTCGTTTCAGGTCAGAGTACGCTGCGTGAAAGTGTGCGCAAATGAATGTTTGCTCAGATGACGGTGAATGTTATTTCATTGTCTTGCACTTTGATTCATAGGAGGAGGTTGAAAAGAGGGAGCACATGCTGGATGTTTTGGAGGAGAGAGTGGCAGATTTGAAGGCTCGAGCCAGACTGCAGGAAATCCCATTACAAATGCAGGTAAATGTATAGGAGAAGAGAAAAATAATGCAAGGTATTATTCATCATAGATTAAAACCACAATATGTGGAACCCAGACTTCTTCTCTGATCATGTGCAGATTTTGCGTATAGAATAAGTAGACACTGAAACATCCAGTGCTGACGACCTTTTTTTTGCGCCTTGGTTCAGTCTTCCTGCATCCAGTAACCCTCCTCCTCTCATCTACACCTGTTGCCACTGCTGTTGTGCTCTTGTTGTGTTACCAGTAAGAGCTTCAGAGGGACATTTGAGAGTGCTAAGCAGTTATAAATGTTAGAGAGTGTGCAGAAGCTCAGTGCATTAATGTACATGCAGCAAAACCGGCTGGATTATGTGACAGAGACACATCAGGAGGATTAGGTGACAGTCGTGGCAGATAAAAGGAGGGGCCATTTAATTGCTGTAGCCAAGGGGCAGTACTAGTGTGTCAGTCAAGCTCTGCTGTGTGTGTTTAGAACATGTTTTGTAGTGGTGTAAACAGCATATTTACACCCATGTACGTTACAACACAATTTATTGACTTACCTATTTATTTTTAGCTTATGACACCTGTGGTTAAAATATTTTTTTTCTCAGTTTTTTCTTGTTTATAAATAACCGTTCTATTAATTCGGGGTCTCTTTCGTGACCGTCTCTCCTTACCATAGTACAGCACATTACAGAAGCTACATTTATCTTCATTATTCTTCCAATTAATTTGCTATGCTATACTGCCTCTCCCTTCCACTTTCCTCAGTCCTCTGCAGGAGTACTAATTCCCCCTGTTGCTGGCTGTCTGGAAGAGTGCATCAGTTTTTTTCCCCATTTATAGTGCCAGGGCTTTGAACAAACAAAATAGTGATAAATCCCTCTGTGATCTTGGACAAAGCCATGGTCCTTGATCCTTGTGTAATTTACTTTCATCTGATTTATGTGGTTCATGCTTTACTCCTAGAATTTCTGCTCCAAATTGCCTCTTGATTGACTTAAACTTTACAAATAAGTGCTCTCAGTTGAGCTGAAGACAAATAAAGTATCTGTACCTTCTACTCAGGAGGAACTTATAGTCACAAATCTATGAAACCGTACTGGACCAATAATTAAACATACTCTTGTGTTGTTTAAATGTGACTAAAACTGATTCTCACACGTCAGGTCCTGCAATCAGATCTGAGGAAGAAAATGGCCCATGCTGAGGAGGTGTACAATCAGGCCAAGCACACTCTGACCTACTTCAGTTTCCAGAAAGAGCGACTGGAGGACCTCATGTCCCAGATGGCCCAGCGGCTGGAGGCAGTCGAGGGTTCCTTATCGGACCTCACCGAAACTACTTCCCCTGAAGACATTGGCACTGTTAAGGTATGGCATTATCGGTTCCTTCAGTAAGACAGAAAAACTCACAAAAAACTGTACAAAGTTTATTTTATTTACACACCTACAACTAGCTTATTACCTAATTAGTTAGAGGAACTAATCATAATGTGCTAATTATTGTTATTCTAGCAGGAAACTCCTCAAAAGTATTTCCCTAATAAAAATCTGAGCACCATAGGTGGTGTAGTAGGTGTTCTTTCCTTTAAGAAGGAAAGAAATGTTTACATCATAGAATTTTGATTCCTGAAGGAAAACGCCTGTCCTGATTAGTGATGCTTTTCTGGAGGACAGATGTCAAACCAGCAACAGATCAGCATCCGTTCTGCTAGAAGAGACTGTTGCCTTAGGACACATTTGCAGGATAGACACAGTACAACACATACAGAGCACATAGCTATAAACGTGCAGAATTATTTGCATAATTTCTCACTGTGGTCCATTTCCAGGACCTGCAGAGTGTCGTGCAGCAGCAGAGGGCAGACATGGACTCGGCTAGAGATGCCCTGACTGCTCTGTGCAGATCGCATCCCTCTGAGGAGCTGTCACGCCTCTCGTCTGATCTCACCTCCATTGCCAAACGAACCGAGACCGTTTCCCAACGCTGTGCCAAGACCAGAGGAAACCTGCAGGACGGTCTGCAGCTCCATTTCAACGGTAAGCGATCATCTGTTTTGCTCGGATTTTGTTTGTGGCGTTGATGATGTATCAGCTAATTTACAAAAGGTGCTTAATTCTTCTTCATTCTGATGCACCGAGCGATCTTATCTATCAGTAATAGTAAGTAGCCGCAATAACTTATTCCCTGATGAGGACAAATTAAAATTTTTAATAACACTTAAAATGCCATAATCACCCAATCAAACATTGCACTGTTACATGAAGCAGAGCCATTTGTTCGTGTTAGCAGTGCAACAGATTTGCTGTTGATTATCCTACATTTTCCCCAGAGCGCACTCAATCCGCCCACTACAGCCCACACTCCATTGACACACATGCTGTCAGGTACACTGGTGCACTCTCACTGCACCGACACACACCTGTGCCTCGGAGAGTAATGTCGCTCTCGTCACATCTGCTCTCGGGGGACTCATTTTGGGCTTGTTGCCAAGGCAACCTAGCACTCCATAGTGTGGACACGCCCACACTTTCCATCTGCCTTAACACACTGCCTGCTCTCACACTTCTTCTTCAGGTTTCTTCACTTTAAAATGTTTTTTCTGCCATAATCTGCAACACATCCGTCTTCCTCGACTTGTCGCTGTATGTTTCTTCAGCTTTTAACTCATCTCTTCTTCCTGTTCCCTCAATCAGAGCTTGTCCAAGACTTCAAATCCTGGCTAGCGATTCTGAAGTTGGAGCTGAAAGAATGCTCTAACCCGTCAGGAGATGTTGTCCTCCTAGGAGCCAAGTTACAAAGGTTAAAGGTACGTTACTTGTTGCTCTTTTTCTCTGTGCAGATGTAAGGGCTATGAAGTGCATATTCCACTTAAAAGTTCTAAGGAGGTTGACTTTTTGATATGAGCATGCTACAGTATAAACAATTTATATTTTTAGAAACATATATCTGTACCTTCCACATAATTTATTAGTATAAGTCATAAGTTACACTGGGCTTGTAAATAATAAACACTTTGAGTTGTTTAAATGGATGAAAACACACAAAAAAGTCCCGATCTGAAGATTTTGGCTCTTTATTTAGAGACTCATCCTATGTTCACAGGTATCACTTCAGCGGATTTCAGAGGGTGAGGAACGCCTCTCTCAGGTTTCTAAAGAGGCTGGGAAACTCCAGCTCCACCTACCTAAAGCTGGAGCAGTGCAGGTTCAAGAGAACCTCTCTGCCTGCCAGCGAGAGTGGAGGAGCTTTCTGGATGGTTGTTATCAGAGCAAGCTGGACTTGGAGGAGAGCGTTGGCCTTCTGAAAAAGTAACACCCTCACTTATGGTTATTTCTTGCTTTTATACAAACGAATTTGAATCAAATAGAAATATGGCTCTCATTAATTCCTTTTTTTCTTCCTTCCCCTCTTTTCCCATAGTTTTGACGACTGCGTGCAGGGTATAAGAGACTGGCTGAAGCAGATGGATCTCAGCCTTAAGGCTGAGCCAGTTCTTGGGGGAGAAAGCCAGCAAGGAGCCCCAGACACCACAGAAGAGCTGGAGAGGACGGAGCAACTCCATAAGGAACTGACAGAAAGAAGGTTTGTATATGAGGGTGTCTGTGGCCATATGCTATATATGTCACAGCATAAGTTACTGAATATTCAGAACAATAATATATCATTTTCTTTTGTAAGGGAATCTATTGAGCAACTCTGCCAGGAAGCCCAGGCTCTATCTGAGGCAGGCCGGGGGTCAGGAGGAGAGGTCAGAGTAACAGGCCAGCTACAGATGGAGCACCAGGCCCTACTGAAGGCAGCCAGGGAGAGGCTCAGAGGCTGCCAGGAGAGCCAGGCTTTTGGAGACACTCTCCAGGGGGTTTGGGCCTGGCTGGAGGAGATCCAGGAGCGACTGGGTACAGTCGACAGCACGATGGGGACCAAAGAGCAGTTAGAGCAAAGGCTGGAGACGGTGCAGGTGAGAGGACAACAAGACTACATCTGCATGTATTCTTTATTTAGGTAATTCACCTTTATTACAATCTAGTTTTTCCAGTGAACACAAGAGGGGGCTGTTTGCTTAAGATATATTTATATATATTTTATTTTAATTTTTTACTCTGAATGTCTGTTTGCACAGGATATCCTGCTTTTGAAGGGAGAGGGTGAGGTCAAGTTAAATATGGCAATGGGTAAAGGTGAGCTCGCCCTGCGCAGCTATGGCGCCGCCGGACAGGAAGTGGTTCGCTCTCAGCTGCAGGAACTGGAGGATGCATGGGCTACACTGCTTGTGACAGCCATGAGTTGCCACAGGTACAACTACTCACTTTAACTATCACTTGCATTTTGTTATAAACTACAAATGATAATCTAATGAGTAAAGAAGCATTCCTACCTTTAACAAATGTTGCATGCAGTTATAGAATACATGTATGCTTTTGGATAAAGCACTTTGGTTAGCACTGTCACCTAACATCAAGAAGTTTCCACGTTTGAACCCTAACCGGGGCTTTTCTGTGTGGAGTTTGCATGTTCTCTCTGTGCGTGGGTGGGTTTCCTCTGAGTACTCCTCAAGGTATGCAAAAATATGCATGTTAGGCTAATTCCTGGTTCTAAATTGGCCATGGATGTGATGCAGATAAAGTGCTTAAAATTCAAAAAGCACTGTATGGATGTGTGGATAAATTTGGCTTGTAGAGTGAAGCACTTTGACTGGTCAGTGAGACTAGATGAGCTCAATATAAATGCCAGTCAATCCCCATTTCTCTGCCACTGAAACATTTGCCCATGAACATTTAAGAGAGGATGTTTCTGTTTGCCAAAAAAAAAAATTCTCTCTTAGGAACAGGTTATTTTCATCACCACAGATTGATGTGTCGGTGCTGTTAATTACCATTAGGTTAAATAAATAATGAGAAGTATGTGTCTCATTTTCCAACTGTGACTGATGTGTCTTAGTATGTGCTCTCGTGTGTGTTTGTGTGCGTGCGTGACGGCATGCACGTGCATCAGTTTGTGTGTGTGTGTGTCTAATTGACCAATTATGGCCCCTCCTAGAAAAAAAATTGATCCCATTAGGGACTAAATGGTGGATGGCAAACAGTGGGTCACACATGCGGTGTGTTTGTGTTGAAAGGGGAGCGGGATAACAGGAGGCGAGGGGTAGCAGGTGAATTAGAGGTGTGTGTGAGTATGTGGATATTGGCACTATTTGCACAGGCAGGGGTAACAGATGGCAAGGAAAATTATGGGTGTGTGTCTGTGTCCTTGTGTGTTTTGAACCTCCTGATAAAAGGGGAGAAAGGCTTTAAGCCAGTATTGCTGCCAGTTTGTGCTTCTTCTGCAATGCTGCAAATGTACAGGAGAGTAAAAAGGTGTAAAAAGATTTTTATGCACCAAGATTTAAATTAAGCAGTCTACACATGTAGTTGTAAAAGATTTCATGTGTTGTTTTTTTTTTATTTTCTATTTTTTTATTTTTACACCATTTGTAAAAGTGTATGAGAGATCTACTGTTCTGTCTCCAGTCGATTAGAGTGGACTGTGTCTCAGTGGGGAGGATACCTTGAGAGTGCCGCCCAACTGCGCTGCTGGATGGAGGTTGTGGAGCGGGAGGTGTGTGCCCCTCTCACCCCTCAGCCAGGACCTAGAGAAAAAGCTTCACAGCTGGAGAGACTCCGTGCTCTGCTGGCTGATCTAGAAGACCACCAGATGGCGCTGTCCACACTGGAGGAAAAAGCCAGAGAACTCTTCAAGAAGACTGGTGATGCCAGCTTTAACCATGGTGCTCGCACCCAGCTGCAGGTGCAGTTTGACAACCTCACAGCTTTGGTGGAGGTACAAAACATCTGCCTTTATTTATTAATTTACAATGTAGATGACCTTCAACCTCTTTCACCTTGATCAAGGCTTTCGGTAATATAACACGTACATATTTTGTGTTTCTTCTATAGGAGAGAGTACGTCTGGCACAGGCAGTGGTGTTGGAGCACCAGGACTACCTGGAGGCCGTTAGAGAGCTCACTGATTGGCTAATGACTGCAGGGGAGGAGCTACAGCACTGGTCTGACACATCAGGAGACTCCACATCCATCAAAAAGAAACTGTCAGAAGTTAGGGTAAGGAAGACAAACATTTGTTGGTCACCTCAAGCATTTCCATTCTGTGCTTACGGCCCTTTTTCGGGGACAAATCATAAAGAGTTGCAGATTATTTTAGCCCACATAAATTAAGTATAAAACTGCAGGGAAAACACAAGTACACGGATGCTAAAACAGTATCAGCTAAACAATCTAAAATTTATTTGACATAATCTGAAATCTCTTGAGCCACTCCATGTTAACAGCATGCGGTACATGTTGGTTAAATTGTCTTTTAGTTATAAACTTAGATTATTTGAGAATTACAACTTGGCTGGACATCTTGTAGGAATTTGTTGGGATAATTGATGTGTAACAGGCACTAATTACACATCTATTAAAGAAGGATTAACTCTTTAAACCCAATATAGACATAATGATTCTCAGTGCAGTATCAGCGACTCTTGTGTGGAAGCGATGTTTAACTTATTTAAGAATACTTTGTCTTTGGCTCTTCTGCATGCTTGAAATGTGTGTGCTGTTCTTTGTTTTGTTTTGTTTTTTTTAATCCACACCCAGTTCTTGCGAAGATAACTGATTGCTGAATTATCTGAACCCATTTGATGAATACATTCTCACTATGAAGGAGAGCAAATTATGCGGGGAATTGGAATTGGTTCTCAGCTTGTTCCCATATCAGAGCCAAATATCTCAATCTCTCATGATGCATTTTACTGCCAATGCAGTATAATATGGTTTATGGTTGTGTGTAAAAGGAAAAAAGAAAAGGAGCAATGAATTTAATGCTAAATCTTTCCCTGCTCGATAACTCTGCGATTACAGAGGAGAGAAAATATGTGAGGAAAAATTGATTTGCATTTAAATTTTACACATGGGTACTAATTATCACATTATAAATGTGTGTCAGCAGAGCTATGCTGTGTGAAGCATTACAGTAGAAGAGGAGATATGCTGTCTTGTGTACACAAGCTAGTTTTCATTTTTTATTTAGTGTCAAGGTTGATCTTCATAGCCATCTTCTCCCTTTTTAATCCCTCTATCAGCTCACTGCTATCGCATCACACTCAAGTGTTTTTCACATCATCTGCCTGGCTTTCCCTTAGAGAGTAAGAGGTGAAGATGGAAGGAGAGGGAAAAAAATCACTAACAGAGCAATATTACTGATATGGAAATTAAAAATACAGCAAATCAGAATAACTGGTGCACTGACAGAATCAAAGAAGTAGATATAAACATGTAAGGTGATGAAGCAGGGGACATCTGATGAAAACACTATACGGCAGCTTTAAATAGACACCAGCACAGCCAGAGATTGCGGTTTCCTTAGCCACAGTTTCCGTAGCAACTTTGTCTCTTACCTACCTACCCTCTTTATCTCTCCAGGAGCGTGTGGAGTGTCGACTTCTGGAGGGCCGCGACCGCCTCAGCCGGGTGCGTCGCAGCGCGGCGTCCACAGCGGAGCACACGGCAGCGGGAGGCTGCGAGGCCATGGATCGACAGCTGGGGGCGCTGTCCCACGCTCTGGAGCAATGGGAAGGGGCCGCTCTGAGGGCCCGGGATAGCTTGGAGGGGGCCCTGTCCGCTGCCGCGGCTTCCGAAGAGGACTATAACCGTCTGACCGCCCAGTTGGAGGAAGAGTTAAAAGTGTTTGATGGACGTCTGAGGGGGTGGAGCCAGGAGCTGGTTAAAGCTGAAGGGCAGAGTAACGGCGAGGAGGCCGTGGAGGGATGGCAGCTGGCTAAGGTACTATAGAATTTAAATAAACATAATGACAAGAGAGCCTGAATTATTATCTGTTCATTTTCTCACAATGGTGCATTTTAAAAAAACAGCATCAATAATAAAAACTCGCTGGGGTGGGTGAAAGCTGACAGCGGCTATGCTGCCGTCCTATGATTAGCATTGTTTAATACAAAGTACACACACAGACACACACAGACCCTCTGCAATTAGCCCTGCTTTCTCTGTCAGTAATTATCCATTCTATTTGTAAATCCTAAAAACAGATTAGTTTGTAAATCAGCTTTACTGGAATGATGAACAAGTGACAGCCACAATCCCATCACTTCCCCTGGTTTGCTGCTCATTCTGTCTTCCCTGCTGTCCCCTCTACCCCTCCCCGCTTTGTCTTTTTTAACCATTATTTTCCACTATCTCTCCCTCCCAAACATTCCCTCATTGTTTCTCCTGCCTATACTCCGACTTGGTTGAACTGAAGTGTGCTGAGATGTCCTTCTTGGCTGCAGGGGTTCTTTCTTAGATGCTTGTGCTCCTCACCTCCCCTGCTGCTCTGTTTCTAACCTCCACAGGATGTTTACAGTGTGACAATTTCTCTGTATTGTCAAGGCCGTGCCAACACGTTCAGCCCTATATTTCCCCTCCGGGCTTCTTCAGCCATGCCTTTCTCCGGTTTTCCTCAATTTGGGGCTGTTAAAGAACAGAGGAGGAGTTTTGTTTTTTTTTCTTTCCCCTCCTCCGCTTCTCGTTCTCCTCCTTCTCCAGCCTGTTTCCTGTGTCCGGCCTTGTTTTCGTTACGCGCTTGTTTGTGTGCGTTTGAACCAATTCTACATCTGTGAGGGCTGACAGCTGAATTCCACAGGGAGAGAGCGTGAGAGAGTCATCGGGAGGAAAAATGTGTGCGAGGGAATAAGTGGAAGGAGTGGGAGGAGGGAGAGAGAAAGAGGAGAGAGCGAGAGAGTGGGGTAGAGAAAGAAGTAGAACCGCCGTAAGAGGAGGGAGCGAGGAAAGGAAAGGAGAAGAGGGAGACGGGAGCAGCGAGTCCACAGGAGCAGGGAGGGAGGGTTGTTTTAATCGTCATACGTCAGAGAGTGAGTGAGAGTCACACAGCGAGAGAGAGAGAGCTTGTACATATTTCATGGGACAGGATTTCATGACTGTGTGAGTGCAGAATGTGAGGCACGCTGAGGCGAGCTGGAGACCGTTATCCACAGCTCCTTCCTGCCACACTCCGCCAGGAACAGCAATGCTTTTGTACAGGCAGCACTGTGAGTATGTGTTTGAGCGTCTGTGTGCGCGGTTTGAATGTGAGAAGAGCGAAAACGACTGAGGCAGGGTGTGAATAGGAATGCGAGCGGACTTATTGGAGGGTGTCATGCAGATCCGTTGGGTGCTTGTGTTTCCTTGTCACACACACACTGAGCTGGTGTCTGATTTGTGCCGTTTAGGATATACTGGAGGGCTTGCAGAGCGCCGAGCCGATGGCGGAGAAGTTGAAAGGCCAACTGAATGACCTGGTGCGATACTCCAGAGACCTCGGCTCACAGTCAGACCGGGTCACGGCGCTAATCAAACAGCACAACAGGTGAGAGGAACATTTCTGCTGTAGTGATGTGATGTGGGTGAGCGAGAATTACTCCTTGGAGTGTTTGTGGATGTAAAACGAAACACTGACTGATTAACTACAGTTTATTCATGATGCCTTTTGCTTCAAGTCTGTGTGATGAGGCCAAAAGCTGCTTTTTTCAAATGTAGATAGAAATGGCCCCAACTTGAACTTCCTAACCTAAAAGCCGACAAAGTTATCCAAACAAATGCTCAAGGAAAGGAAATTCAGAGTCTCACTGGAGATGAAGTAAAAGGTTTTCTCAAAAGTGAAGACGTTATCACACAGATTATATGAAAACTGTGGTTTAATGTAGAACAAAAATATAAATTAGAGGAAGAACCTGGAGATACTTTGGACCAGAGATGAGAAACAATGGATACCAAATGGAATAACAGCACTGTGTACAGTAAAAAAAGATGGGAATTTTATGAGTTTTCAGGAGATGGAACAAAATTTAACATTATGTAACCATTCTCCAACCATAGTAGGAATCTACAATTTAAAGAAATATAGAGTAATATCTGCATAGTACCAACAGAGGAAAGGAAATACAGCACATTATGTTAAAGAGAAATGGACAAAAAAGAACTAGGTGTGTATATTTCTCAAGATAAATGGCTGCCTGTATGGAGAACACAGCAATCTACTACATCATCATGTAGCTTGAGAGAAAACTGTTGGAAGGGTTGAATAACATTCTCTGTCACCCCCAATATTAAACATAAATTTCTAGTGTTCTCTAACAAAGCCATATTGAAGCCAATGTGATAAATGTAAACCATTCTCATGTCTTTTGGATCTGCCCTGGCATTGTGCAGTTTTGGGAGAGTGTTCATTTATTTATTGTTAAAATATATACAGGATCATCTCTGGTGTTGCATTTTGGTGATATAGCAGGAAATATTGTGTTGAGAGAAGACAGATGTTTGTTTAAAATCTTGGTAGCAGCCTGTGAAAAAGCCATCCTGGAGAGATGGTACGACCCAGACCCACTATAACAAGACGAATGGCTGTAAATAGTGAGTGTAATATATGTTATGGAGTAACCGACTCATAAGATCAGACAGGAACAGTGTTGAGAGATATGGACCATGTTTACACATCAATGACAGGGTGAGGACTGAAATATTAATGTCACAGGAACAAACTAGAGACAATCATTTCGGGATTTTTGTTATTTTGCTTTGTTTCACTTCTTTCTTTTGTGTATACCTGAAATGGAAAGGTGGCAACAATGTGTTTAAAAGTCATCTGATCAAAAAAAAAAATGTTTTTGGAGGTTTTTTTTCAGCTAGGATGTTCAAATCAACCTCTATTGACCAATATGCTATATACATTTTAAGTAAAAAAAATAAAATAACATAAGACAAACAAATAAACAGGAAATAATCGAAATATGTTGAGGAAACTGAATAAAAATGAATTTCATTTGTTTAATTATAGTATGCTAAAAGCAATAAGTGCAAACAAAGGCAATTGAAAAGGCATACTCTCCTTGACCCACTTGGATAGTGGAACAGTTAAAAGCAGTTGTTTTGGGGATCTGAGACCTACTGCTTGGGTAGAGGACATTAGGTTCTGAAAATCAATCTGACAGGTGGCCAGTACAGGGATTTTAGTACTGGTGTAATGTGTTTTCATTTTCTGCTACCAGTTAGTCTCACTGCAGGATTCTGCAACTGCTGCATGATGAGATGAGGGCTGGTGCAGTAAAGGGTCAAAAATCCATCCTCGAGGAGAATAAACTGTTTGTAACACTCTTTATATGAGTGAGAGAAGGGATGCTTAGCTATGTCTGTCTGCCTAGTTTGCCTTTATGGACAGCTCCCTGTGTACATAACAGACCTGGTGAGACCTTATTCAAGCGGTTGGCCTCTCTAATCATCTGATCCGAGTTTTTTGATAGACATGGCCACACTTTTTAAGCTCTTGAACTTTAGAACTACGTTCTGCAGTGGAGGCATGCATGTATGATTACGTTGAGTAAAACCAGGACACTTCCGATGTTAAAGAAATTGTGTTTTGCCTAAAAAGTCTGCATTTTCTTCTGTAGCTATCTGTTTATAGAGAACGGAAGCGAATTAATTCGGTTTAGGTTTAAGTGCAAGGTCAAAGGTGATACCAAGATCTTTGCTATGGGCTTAAAGGTTTAGTGCTAATGGTCCTAAATGGCTAGCTAAAATGATCACACCTGTCTGTGTGTCATTTAGATGAAGACAGTTTTTTCTGTAGAAATACACATCCTAAAATATTTGTGTGACATTGGATTATCATTTGAAAGATGCATTGTACTTGTATAAAATAAAGCCTAACGGACACATAATGCAAAAAGGGACCTAAAATCAAATCCTGAGGTACTCCATAATTGATTGAGGCACTGGAGAAAGAGAAGCTTTATTAGCTATTAGTCAACAACCTAGCCAACCTTATCCTTTAGACAGTTTTTATTAAAAGGCTGTGATTAATACAGATGATCAAGTGATTATGACACAACGTGCAACATAACGTATAAACAAGTTATTTGCTATTTATTACTGTACAAGTATGTGATTCTGCAGATACCTGACATACTTTTTATCTGGCATATTATATAAAAATGTGTCATTTTAATGATTCAATTAAACCTGTCCTCATAATTATTGTTGATGTCACACATTATTCCATATAACAGTCTTAAAAACAGCTGTTCCATAACACAATAACAAGAGCGGGAAAGGAAAGTTCTCCTTAATTACAGCTCAAAAGCCAGGGCTATGTTTTATAAGCTCTTGTGTGTGTGTGTGTGTGTGTGTGTGTGTGTGTGTGTGTGTGTGTGTGTGTGCGTGCGCGCGCTTGTGGCAATAACACACAGAGGTCTGACGTCCGTATCAGCCAGGTGAAGGTGAAAGGTGACGGACAACAACAGAGTCAGCAGTTGCTAAGCGACATTTAACCGTCTTCCCTCACTTCCACTTATTGACTATGTTTGTGTCCTTCCCCAGTTTAATTTTATGCAACGCCGAGTGTAATTTTTTAGGGAAATTAAACATTTTTGGAAGGTCTTTTTCTTCACACTGATACCCACTTTAGTCTCTTTACTGAGCTCTAATTGCCTGCTTTAAACCCTCAAGTGAGCCCGTGTTCAATGAGCACCACTTGTTTGTGAACGCACCGTGCAGTGCCTTTTCAAAAGAACAACAGTGCATACAAAAGAGCATGCACGCACACAGCCACGCACATTCAACGCATTCATGTACAAGTGTAAACTTCTACCGTAGCGCAAATGATCTCCTTTATTTGCTGCTTCTCTGAAGATTTACTGGCAGACAATCTAAGTGAGGTCAGCTTTTTGGAAATGCTTTGGCAGCTAATTGGCGTCGACTGCTGATTGGCAAAACACCACCTTTCCTTATTCGTTTGGCTGTTTAGTCTGTAATAGACTTGGCCTGTGCGCTCTTTGCACCTGTCCTGCATTTAAGCGCTGCAGAAAGAAGAGTGCACAGACAGAATGAAAAAAAAGAAGGAGTCAGAGGAGAGGAGGAAAAGGCAATAACTCCCCTCCGCCCCACCTCCTCTTTATACCGCATGCCAGATTTTGTCTGTCACAGCAGAAAAAGTGCTTCTTTTACACCCGTGCTATCCCCACTGTGTTACCCTTTCATGCCCTCATCACACCGTTAAAGCTCAAGAGTGTCTGTGCCTGACTTTAATGCGTGTTTCAGTGCATTGAGATGCTACATGAGGACAATGTGTTTTTTGCCATGTTTTTCATACCTCTATTTCTGATAAGTAACCTTATTTCCCTGCTGTCATCCACGTCTCCCCCTTCCTCCTTTAACCTTCACACACTCCCCACAATGTGTGAAATCCAGTAATTGTTTTTCTTTTTTTTGTCTTACATCATGTTTAAATCTATTTTGAATGAAACCACATGTACATAGATTTTTTTTTCTTTATCCCAGAGTTGAAAGAAAATAATTCTGCTGGTTGTACATATAGCTTATCCATATATGAACTTGTATCTAAGTTGGTCATAACACACCTCACAATTTGGTTATGTAAATTTAGTGCCAGGGAGCACTGAGCAGAAGTGTGTGAAGGAGTATGGAGGTCAAGAAGACGGGTGGTTGTGTAGTGCGTCATGCTGGAGATTTGAATCTGAAATAAATTTTTTGTTGTTGCCATTTTATACTTTTAAATAGCCTAATACCTGAATTGTGTCTGGTTATAAAAACACATAACTGATTGTTGGTCTCATGATGTATTCAAAGCACCATTAACAAATTTAAAAAAAAAAAAAAATCTCATCGCCGATCATTTTGTAGCTGACAGCTGGTCTCCCACCCCCTCATGTGCCAATCAACAACATCCGCTCCCACTGGGCTGGTACTTTTGCTGCTGGGTCTTTTCTACTGTAAATCAACACACCAAGGCTCATTCACACATTCATAAAGATCTTTATTTTGTACCCTTAAGTGCTTTCTGACTATCATGCACACGCTTAGACTGCAGTCGATGGATTGGGAGAAATTTTGGGGTTCAGTATCTTGCCCGTGGACACTTAAGCACAATTACTACAGGGGCTAGGGATCAAACCACCAACCTTCCAGTTAGTAGACGACCCAATCTACCTCCTGAGCTGCTGTAAATTTATTATCACGCTCCGTAAAGTTAGGAGTTGTCATCAAATTTCGCTGACATTTTCATTTTGTGTGTTCTGTTTGTGCATCCCTTTAGATTATTATGGTTTCTTGTGTTTTTAGCTATCCTTTAAAGCTTCAAATCTCAGTCTCATTCAACAAGTGATTTTATTATGCTTCAGTTACATACCTGCTGTACCTTGTGGTTAATATATTAATAGCAGAAAAATTCCTCTGGATGAAAAGCTTCAATCTCCTAAAATCCAAATTTGAAAGTGTACCTTTGATATTCTGTCAAGCCTCGCTGTGACCGCTTCCTCACATATCTCCTCCATCTCATCTCTTTCTTATAGCATCAAGCTGTCGTGTCTCGTTCCCTCCATCTTGTCACCCATGTGAACTCTTGCCCCAGTCATATGTTGCCTCTCAACCCCCCTCCCACACAGTGCCCCTTAGCGCCATCCCCCCGCTCTCCCTCTTTGCCCCAGCGCTCATTCCTTCCACTTCACCCACTTTGCCATTTCTCCACCTGCCCATTTCTCATCCCTGGCTCATCCTCCATGACGTGAGTACAGTCTGGACAGTATCAGAGCATCAGCACGTGTCTCCTTTGTTTTGATGGACACATGGGCAGTAAACACTTCCTCTGTTTGTAGCTTCGTTCTTTCTTTGTTCATTTCTCACGGGAGATTTCAACCCATGAACAACAACTTAAATGAGGCCTTTTTTTTCTTTTCTTCTTCTTTCCTGCAGTCTGAGTCTTCGTGCATCCAGGGAATGTCAAAATAAGGAGCGCTTGTTGGAGCAAAGGTTTCGTGCAGCCCTTAGAGACTTCCAGCAGTGGCTGGTCAATGCCAAAATCAGCACTGCCAAATGCTTTGATGTGCCACAGACTGTCACAGAGGCCTCCTCTGCTTTGCAAAGGATTCAGGTAAGGGATATATTTTGCAAAACCCTTATTTACAGCTAAAAAAATTTATTCTTCCTGTGTGTGTGTGTGTGTGTGTGTGTGTGCGTGTGCGTGTGTGTGTGTATGCGCGTGTGTTTTTTAAGGGGACATATAACTGTAGTAAAATTGAAGTTCATTGTCTTCTTTGCACAGGTGTTTTTCCAAGACAGACTTACCTGATGCAGGAATTAATCACAGATTTAATCACATTTTTGTCATATTATTCCAGGGCAGACTGAAGTAATACCAGCATATCAAGCAGTTTTTTGGGGATGGAAACGTAACTAAATATTACTGTAGTCAAGTCTTTTGAGAAATAACATTTTCAATAACTTGTTTTGTGCTCATTCATATTGATGTCTCAGAGCTGCCAGCCAGTGTGGCCGTATGATATTTTTTCTACAGGCAGATTGCTTCTGTGAGTGTCTGTTGATAGTAGAGGTAGGGAGTGTCATTTATTCACTTACATAAACCAGACTTTTCCTGCCTCTCGGGGTGATGATATTAACAAGCTTCTTTTCATAAAAGCCATTTGTCTGCTCCTTGAGAAGCTGCAACCTTGCATCAGTTTGAGTCCACTTAAATCCACTCTTGCTAATTACAGACTGGTTCTCGCTTTTTATTTTGTTTCCATAGAGGCAGGCTAAGCAACAATATGGTACTACAAAGAAAAGCAAAAGATGTAGTAGTTAAACAATCAATCCTCTTTCATTGGATGTTTGCTCAAAGGGAAGCGTGTGTGAACATGCCCACTGTTGAGTGTCTGCTGGTGGGCTTGTTGGAGTGATGGGACCTGCAGTAGCCTGGATAAGCTAGAAATGGGCTCATAGCCAAAAGGGATAAGAGAAAGCTCCACAGTGGGGTCTCTCAGCCTTTCTCTTCAAAATATCTGTGTGTCTCTCTTTCTGAGAAGTCTCTGAGATTCTGGCAGGTCTGGCAGCCTCTTCAGAGCACCGCAGGGTTCTGGCTAATAGTGGGCTGCTTGTCTGTGAAGGTGGACATCCCCACATCCATGCACCGCATTACTATCAAGCAATGTGCTATTATTTCGAAACTCTGCATTCTCAGACCATATTTTGGAGCTCTTAGATGATCGACGAAGCAGTGAATCAACAGTTAGGTGGTCAGGGAGAGTGAGTTCAAAATGGCAAAGCAACGTGTGGTTATTTGACAAAATAATTTGCTGGAAATCCTCTGCAGGGGTTTAGCAAAGTCTGCTCCTTTAGAAGTTTCTAGTTTTTTGGATGAGAGGGATTTTCATACTTTCTGACTATCGGAGGGGAGAGAGGCAATCATGTTTTATTTATTATTGACTTGGTGAGGAATGTGGAACAATGTTTCCACATGGCTGACCTCCAGGAGGGCTAGCGTGGGAGGGGCTGGGGTATCCATTGTGTCATGCTTAATTGGTGGTATACAGTTACACTGGCAGGGTGAGAAAGACAGCAAGTGTGGAAAAGAAAAAGAGCGAGCAAGTAAATGAATGTAGAACACAGAGAGCGAAACGGTGAGAGACGCAGACTTTCTTTTCTTGTGTGTGCCTTTTACTTTACCAAGTGTGTGTGTGTGTGTGTGTGTGTGTGTGTGTGTGTGTGTGTG